TAATCACGTAGTGTGGTTACCGCGCTTAGCGCGTAAACATTTTGCGGGAGAGCTGGTCGAGCGGAGAGCTGGCAACGTGTGGCAATGCTCGACCGGCCGGCCTGGCCGCGCGGCGCTTCAATCAGTCGCCCGCGCAACCCATTACGAGACGCGCGTATCACTGCGCGCGCCGATCGTTCCGTCGTGCGGTCAACGTAACGATGTATTCGCAGCGCGAGTGTTATGAAATGATTCGGTGCTACATTTTAAGTGGAGAGAGTTTGAACCGGGCCCAGAGGAATACCTCGACTTCGTAACCAAGGACTAAACCCAACAGTGCCAAACCGGTGAACGATTTTAGCGGCAAACTGAAGCGAGATCCGCGAGCAAGTAGGTAAGTACCTACACGAGACGCGAAGTGCGAAATGACACTGTAGTTTTAAATAAACTCAAAGACAATGTACAAAAGCGTGCAAGTCTGTCTGGAGAAAAATGGTATGCACTTTGGGCAATTATTAAAATAACTACTCATAATTTGTTAGTTTGTTGTTAGGTTAGGTAGGTTTGGTAAGCAATCTCAATTATTGCACATGAAAATAACGATAAATACCCCCGAATAGGTACACAAGAAAAGTAGTGTTACCGCTCTCGGTGATTTTATTTTCTTTTTGATAGCGTAATTATTGTCGTAGGTATTTAATTTTTCTACCATAAATTAGTAAGTCTGTTTAATTAAAACTAATTACCACTTTGAAATCTTTTGCATTTTGACGGTCCTAAGCCCGTGAAAGTATGAAGGGAAAATCGACAACTTATAAATCGTATCGCAATGAATGAAATGCGGCGCGGGCAGGCGCGTACGTGTGTGCGTGCGTAAGCGAGTGAGCCGTGACCACGGTGTAAGTGTTTTTTCAGACTGTTTCTGGGTGCTTTATTTTGACATTTTTGTACTGGACGATACAAAAATAAAAAATACGTGTTTTGTCTTTCGCTTCATAGATTATTATATTAAAATTTGGATACTGATACAAAAGTCACCCTGTATATCTAAATGTACTAAGCACGTACGATTCTCATAATCGAATTCATAACGCTGTTTGGTTTTGTTTACATACAAAAAATAACGATCCCACCAAAAACATTCTGTAAAAAGTAGCCAAGTCTCGATGGAGCTGCTTGTTTATCTCTAAAAAGTAATGAAATCTAGACAAAGTCGTGCCAAGTCTATGGTTCCTTACTGCGATTTCTTTATTATTATAGTTAACGTTGTGTGACTTGGCCGTTGAAGGGTGACAAAACCAGGTGCTCCATGACACCATTGCACCAATCTGTCGCCAGAACCGCTACCCATTGACGATGGAAAATTGCCACTTGGAAAACGTTGATTCAACAATAACCAATCAATTGTAAGTTTAATAAAGCTGCGTATTTCAATAATATGTACTTATGTATGATTATCTTAATAAAGATTGTTCAACGGCCAAGTCACACAACATTAACTATAATAATAAAGAAATCGCAGTAAGGAACCATAGACTTGGCACGACTTTGTCTAGATTTCATTACTTTTTAGAGATAAACAAGCAGCTCCATCGAGACTTGGCTAGTTTTTTACAGAATGTTTTTGGTGGGATTTCACTTCTTTTTGTAGAACGTGGCAAAATTATTTAACGTCGTCGTTTTATCGACATTTTTTTACGATATTAAACACAAATAAACTCAACGACCTTTAAAATGGACAACGAATCAGAATTGTTTTAATAACATAACCTTAGCGAACCTTACAATATAATAAACGAAATCAACGAAATGCAAATTACACAACATTCAACTTAATCGACGACTTTCTCTAGAAAGGAAAAAAATCTGGACACCGCTTGCTAGTGCTAGCGCCATCTAGCGGTGAGCGATACAGGCGAACACCACGGTGCCGGAGTAGTATTGATTATGAATGTGGTTACTCCAGATCTTCGATTTTCCTAGTTTTTATAGTTTTCCCTTTATGTGGCCATTAAACCCTAACTCTGTACCAAATTTCAGCTCTCTGAGTTTATGGGAAGTACTAGTTCTATTTTGATGATCATCAGTGAGTGAGTGAGTGTCGTAAATGCGAAACTTTGCTTTCGCTTAACTTCGGAACTAAATGACCTACAGACTTGAAATTTTGGATTTTAAGTATGTGATTATAGCTTACTAGATGACGAAAATTTCTGCGTTCTGGTCTTATCCAGACGTTCTCAAATAGGGGCCTGAAAATGCGGCGAAATGGTTCCAGTAAAGGATGGTACGGCAGTGTTTGCTTCGCGCTCGACTTGGCGGGGGCACTGCCGTGCCCCCAGATTACCATAACGAGAACGATATTTATTCGTGCAAAGGGTATTGTCCTAAGCTGTGTCATGTTTAGCGAAATTGAATAGTTTCGAGTTATTTAATAAGGTTAAATGGACAGATATTATAAGAGCTTGACCATCGCCGTAAGGTAGCGTCCCTATCGGTTTTCTACAGGCTACACTTCGGAGAATGTACGAAAGAATTACACGAATTAATTCCACCAGCCCCCTTCCATCATCGAGGAACCAGACGCAGGTTAGCGTACCATCCCTATATTGTTGATTGCACACATGCTCAACAGCTGTGTCCACAGATAAATCGTGCGTTTTGTTTGCTTGGACAAATTGAAAAAGGTTTTCATCTGTGACGCAAACCGGGCGTTGGGTGCGTACGGCACGTGGAAGTCACCTTCGATTATACCACATGGTTATATTATCTTCTAATTTTGTTTCGGCAGAGTACGGGATTATTCCCACGTCTCGTTCCCACCACTGCAACTCCTGTGTAGCCAGGATCTACAGCTTGACCGCCAACAAAAACCCAACTTGCTATTAGTGAACACATTTCTGCTCACGATGGACTAATTATCTGCTATACTCTTCTAAAGTTCTAAAGCACAACATTTATAAAAATTTTGCTGGAATACACCAGTGAAGGTCAAGTTTGTCCCGGGGAAAGTGTCCAATGACAGTTTTTTCTTACGGACTTAATATTACTTTCATGGGTTTGATTTTTTCGGTGGTTTGTCCGGCTGTGGTCGCAATGTTCCAAATAGTCCCGTTTTTGCAGTGGGGCTAGCTTACTTATTTTAATCTTTAATGTCTTAGGAATTAGTACATAAGGCGAACTTAATGCCATAATGTTTTCTCTGCCAGTATAATAATATCGTACCCTTTCATAAGTACATACATAGCGTTAGCGTTAATTCTGTAATTTAAAAGATTATTTTATTTTCTAATAAGAATAAATAAAAAACAGCATCCGGTATGAAATCCTTTATTTAGTTTTTTGGTATTTTTTGAGACACTTTCCTTTTTGTATCCACATAGGTGAAGTAATATAAAAAAGGATCTTTTTACAGTGACCACAAAATTTCAATGATCCACAAATTCAGAATTTTGACAGTTTAACAATGTTTGCCTAGTAAAACAATAATATAATTTGACTAATAAATTGCCATTGACAAATTGCGAAAGTTTAGTGTTTGAATTAAAAAATATAGCTTATTTTAAATTAATAGGTTAATTTTGAAGACTTAAAAAACTTAATCTAAGCACACAATATTGTAAAATTTCAGATAAAATTAGATTGTTTTTAAAAATAAGTAGTTACGTAATAAGTAGAAGAAACTTTAAAAATTCCGCAATTTGAAAATGGCGAACGGCAGTAAAAGCACACAAGCTTGATCTGACACAATCAAATCAACAACAGTAAGCACATAAATTAAATTTCAGTTTTATTCATTCCCAAAGTTTAAACACAGATTATAACTTTTATTGTACTTACGTGTTGGTTCCTTATTTATAGATCCGAAAACACTGATTCGTTATTGGATAACGCGGTAGTTACTAAGTATTTTACATTATGGCAACACTAAATGTTACATTGACTGTATTCTATGTCAAACAATGCCCACAGTGCTTTGATTGCTTACCTATTTGCGACTTGTACTAAAATTTGATCGCCTGTCAATTCAATAATTTAATTATTACGAATTATACATGAGATCGAACGTAACGTTATATTTTACAGAATTTAGTCCGCCATTTTTCACTTAACTCAGATCAAACTTAGTACAAACGCACAAAACTATTGTATTTATAGATAGATAACTTTAACAAACGGTCTTACAACAATTTTACAACATCATAGCAATAAATAAAAAATACACATTTTAGAACTTTTTTTCAACATCTGGCAACTTTTAAAAGCGCAGTTTTTGATTCCGTTTAAATTTAAAAACCCTTGATTGTTTCGTGAGAAAAGAGTTATGCCTCTCGATGAATGTTATCTACTTATCATTATATTACAGAACGCATGAGATTGGGTCTCATCCTATTCACTAAAGCCTGGTCCGTGAGCACGTAGAATTTTGTCCAATGACCCCAAGCTACCCATTCTTATCGCTCGCGCGTAATTATGTTGCTATCGCGCTCGCACACTCACTGCGGGTGCCAGTCGCACAGTCGCGACAGCAATATAATTCGCACAGTCGCGACAGCAATATAATTACGCGCGAGCGATAAGGATGGGTAGCTAGGGGTCATTGGACAAAATTCTACGTGCTCACGGACCGGGCTTTAGTCATAAAGGTCGTTATGATCACTAAATGCATAATATAACGCTACACGTATAATATACAGGCTAAAGTTATATTATACGATTTTTGTATGTCAGCCTTTTTGTGCTTCTAATTTTTACCTTTACAATAGAATTGAAAAAACACTGAAACAATTTAAAATAAATGAAGTAGGTAGGTATAGTCAAGTGCAAAAACAGACACCTACTTAAGATAATGTGCTTGCGCATGCACCTACTAAACACTGATAATAATGTAAATATAAAGATAAATAATAATTCGTTTCAAACTTAAAGTTTATGTATCAAGATAATATTTATGACACCTAATTAATTATAATAAGTATGCATGCAATATGATAACTTTTAAATCGTTTGCAATTAATTAATATTTATTTGATTTTAAACAAGGCTGACATATACAAACATTATGAATTAAGTGACTACTGCGACGTTTACAGGCCGCAGTGAGACAAAAATAAGCTAATTATCGTTATAAAAATAACTCGTTTTTGCACGTGCGAGTCTTTATGCTGATCCCAAAGCCGTTACAGGTAAAATAACTTACAAATTAATTCCGAATCAATTTACGATTACCGTTACAATATTTTACAACCCGGTCGAGTTAACTGCGCAACTGGCGGCCGTGACGTCACATAGACGAACGGGGGAGATGTGCAGGTACGAGGGAGTAGTATTCCAGCGAGGTGTGCAGCTAATTCGACCGCATTGTACATGCGTCATTATTGCATTTAATCTGGTTAAAGTAATTAGTTCGTTTTAAAATGATTAGTGATTTGGTTCAAATTAAACCATGTTTAAATTAATGCTTTTATTAAAATAAAGATTATAACTACATAAAAAAACAATACATAATTAAAACAGCATAAACACTCGCACCTCAAAAACGAGGTTGCAGCATACGCTACCTTACAATTAATACTTTTTTTATTGTATTATTTGTCGAATTTTTAACTTTTTTTTGTTGTATGGCACCACAGCCACTAATTTTAAGACAATCACACACGTGTTTCCCGCCAATTCCACTGGCGAGCTGGGGGATTCAATTTTTTTATTGTTTTTTCCCTCACAAACAGACTCAGTAGTCTCAAACCTCACTCGCTGTGGAAAAAGGCTACATTGTGCATAAATAAACGTACTGTACGATGTGTTGTCAGACAACAACTGTCTAAGGCGAGAAATAGTTTTTTAATCAACTTTTTTGAAGGAATAGACGTAAAATTACTGTCAGTAATTTGATTGTACGTTTGGAATTTAATTGAGGACAACAGTTCCAAGAGTCTCCCAGGGGCATACAACGTCACAAAATGTCGTTTGCTGACTTTAAACAGCACATCATATGCGATTTTGAAATAAAATGTACAGTCTGATGTGCTGCTGACAGTATGTGACGTAATAGGTCATCACTTCATCAGGTTTCACATGACATTAACTCATGTGTGACACGTTTCAGAACTTTGTCCTTTAGTGAATATAAAAATATTTAATTATTTACTTTATTCTATATTTTTTTTAAATAAAATTAAAAATATTGTATCGGAGACAATATTCGAAACGATATTGAATTTATTTACATAAATATGACAGGCTGTAGCTGACATCCCAACTTTAGTTTCTCGTCAAAAAACTACACTGACAGTTGTGTCTGACATTGTCAAACTGCCTTAGCGTCCGCAACAGCCAAAGCAGTTCAAACGATCAAGCAACACTCTTATTACACAAACGTTAAGTGTCATTTGCCTTAACAGCAGAAGTTTATCACAACCAGGCTCCTACTTGTAGCCTACTTTAAGCTCATTATATCCGAAAACAAGACTTAGGCTTTTCATAATAGATTCCAATTTCGCGCACAACATTGGCACTAAGAATGAACAGCTCAGAAGCTAAAAATCAAAGAGGTCTGAGAGTTGGAATTTTATATTATTTTTCAATGTAAAGTACATTGATTCGTTTTGACAGCTGTCAATGGATAGACTACTGAAACATGACCCTTGAACACTACAGTGGTAGCTGTCAAAACGTTCCCAAAGAGTTAATATTAAAATAGTCAAGAGTAAAAAAGACTACATAATTATTTTGTGACTGAACTTATTTTATGAGTGTCAATTTCGTATTAAACACGCTTACATTTAACATTCATTCATATAACGAAAATATTTTTTAAATTTTTGTTTCAAGCATTTAAAAAGCATTTATCCACTCTCTAAGTTCAATTACATTTGCTACATATCATTAACCACACTGTTGCTTAACGTACAAAAAGGTAAAATAAATTATAATAAGTTGTTTATAACAAAACGATTGTGTTCGGCGCTAAATATTATATTACATATTATTATAAATATCAACAGTTCCGCTACATAAATATAACAATTTCAAACATCGGACTTAGCTCTTCGATTCTTTAGGTACCTGTAAAATGTGGGACTAAATCGAAAAGCAAGTTTGTATGAGCAAAAACAAATTTGTTTCTAGGACAATAGTGCGTGGACTCAATACGATATTCTAATTTTCTTATTAATTTCAAAAAATGTCTTAGTTATATTATAATTTAAAGCCTGGGGTTCATTGCTGAATATAGTGTCGGAATATAGCTACTTGTATCGCTTCGCTCTCTTAAATTCATAAATACACAAAATAAACATTGTTGTTTTAACAATCAACTTTCTGGGAAATATAGATTTTGTTTTAGTGAGAAACAAGTTCAAACGATTTAGACTGTCTTTAATTTTTATAAAGATAGGGTGCATGTACCTATTTGTGAGCAAAACGAAATGCATGTCAGTGTACAGAAACAATTCATATCGAAGATCAAATGGACGCCAGGCTTATGTAAGTTTTATTCGAAAATAAAATCAACAATAAACATCTTTAAGAACGTATATGATCCACGCTGCCATTACAATTGCTGTGAGACATATCAATATGTTTTCATTGTATCGAAAACACGAGTCCGCTATAATAAATAACAATATTAGGTAATATCCAAAAGAAGTAATTGGTATTGGCTATTTATTTATAACTACAGCACGTACGATTGGCTTGATGGTCTAACTTAAACCATCGAAAAAACTGACACCATTTTTACAGTAAAGTATTTAGAAAAGATACGGAGAGTCTTAGGTATTCTTTACAATCATGTTTTTATGCTGGTCACATGTGTCAAAATATTTCAAAAGATGCACAGAAACTGTGTCAGGTCATGTGTAAATATTTATACAATTAATTGAATTGTTAGTAAAGTTGTTAAAAGTTCTGTTGCGATACATTGTACAACATCGATGAATATATCGCTCGTATTTTTTAAAGAATCTGCTTAAAAGTGGCATCTTTTTTTATTTATGTAAAGAACAGTCCGTGTTGTAGTTAGAAATTTGTGCATAAACCATTTAATTTTTGAGTACATCGATTCTTTCGGAACAACCAAAACAAAATTACCAAGTAATATTCAAACAAACGAATATAGTGATAACATCCTAGGAAATAGGGCAGTATATTGTATGTTACATTAGCGAATATTGCTTTTAAAATGCGAATGTTTGAATATCCCTTATAAATAATTATTTAGCAATACATACTTACAGTTTCAAATTACATTACACATCTGTTTCAACTGACACACGTCCTAACATACGTCACTTTACATTCGAATATCAGATTTTTAGAAAAAATACATCAATTTAGATTTTTTAGTTTTTAAAATATTTTAATTAATTTTTTCATACGTAATTTTTTTCTCAAAAATATTTACAGCAGTCTATTTCTATTTCATATGGGTCGTGCAGTGCGATCGAAATTTTAATTGTGTGTTTTATAAATAAACAACAAAAATATACTTTTAAATATGCAAACGCTATAATATAAATAAAAATATTAAAATTCCACTCGCAAAGTTTTTTTTTCTAATTCAATAAACTTAAAGATGAGTGTTTACTTTTATTATGTCATGATTCTAAAAATACACTTACATAAACAATAACATGCCAAATAAAATTCCGACCGCGCCACTTCTATTGTTAAAACAAAACGCATTTGACTAATTTTTTTTTATTTATAATAAAAAAACTGTCCACTTTCCACTTCAACTTAACGTAGGGTGTTTAAAAATTAAAAATTATATTTTTTCCGTCCATTGAAGCTAAGGTATTAAATTAAGCTTATTACACACCTTGAGATCTGTCACTCACTTTTTTTAGTTTTTTTTTCACAGTTTTTATCACATTCATTTGAAATACTGTTTCCTTTTAGGTGTTTGGGATATGTAGTGGTCGTGATCACACGAGTGGAGGATTTGCGTGGGGGCTGAGAACCGACATGTTCAGGACGCGTAATTACCTTGGATGGGAGATACCTGCACAAAGGATACTTATGTCAAGACAACAGAACACATATTCAACGGGCGTAACTATAGAATGAATTACCATGACTCATGCTGTTGCGAACCTTACAGGTACACTTTTTAGCACGACAAAGTATACAATAATGTTCTCCAGAATTTGTAAGAAGTATAAACATATCATCGAAGTATATTAAATGTTCTTCAGAATTTATAAGAAGTATAAACATATCATCGAAGTATACTAAATGTTCTCCAGATTTTATACGAAGTAGAATAATGTCGTCGAGGTATACAAAAATGGTTATTACCTGGTCGTGTCACGCGATAGAGCTGACCGCGTAGTGGGGCCGGGTCCCCTCGGGCTGGTACAGAGTTATCGACGCTATGTAGTTGTTCGACATCACCTGCAGAAGAATATAGTTTGATCAAAAGGATGCAGCAGAACGAGAGCAAAGAACAAACCCTCCAAGAATAACGAAGAAGGTGCTTATTAACATGACCGGTTTTCTCTTTATTTCCTTGGTGCAGGCTTCCGAGCTATGTTTTGTACAGGACACCTTGAAATTATACCCGTGATCTAGGCTATCGTATCCACCTTTGGGCTATGGGGGACCAGTTTGGCCTAGGGGGGAAGGCAAATTAATTTTTCAGGCATGGTCCCTCGCTTTTTGACATTTAATAATGAAACGTAGATAGGTAAGAGCTTTTACCCGCGGGGAAGGGGGGCAGATAAACTCCCCTTCATTCCGCCCATTTGGTACGTACATCCATGGTCCTCACCTTTGACAAGGTTATTATGTTCAAAGAATCACCTCAAAGTCCTGGTACCGCCTTAACAGTAGGTGAAGTTGAAGGGGTTTGGTAGTGTTTGGCAAAGCTGAACTCTGGCTGGCTCCTGCCTCCTGCCACTCACCTCGAAGATCATGGCTAGTGGCCGTAGCAGAAGGTAGAGTCGAAAGGGTTGGTGCTATTAGTGAAAGAGGCTCTGGCTGCTAGCTAACTGAGATTGACTCCTGGAATCGTAGTTCCTTAGGTAAGCAGGCTTTGGTCCTGACTCTTGCCACTCACCTCGAAGATCCGCTTTGCAATCGAGGGAAGTCGAATCTTAATTTCGAACGCCTCCTATCGATGGCTCCTACGTATAAAGGCGAAACTGCCGCTTACGCCTTTTTCTAATTATTTAAGCAATGATTTCATTTTGCTCTAATCTATAACGTCAGTAAGAAAAAAAAATTTTTTTTCCATTAGATACAAAATAAAATTTTAGGCAAATAGGCGTATGTGCAAAACTACGCCACGTATAAAGCCCAGTCATACGATTCGTCAATCTATACGAGTAGTTGCTTACATAAATATATATTTTTTATAATCCAAATCTTAATATTTAGCAAATTGTTTTATTTATAAATTATGACAAATTATATAGTTATTTCATTTTTAGCGTTAAGAGTCGCATCTCAAACTAATTTGAAAATTATAAATAACTTGAAAACGTAATAACGATACATTAAACAACTTTTTCTAACTGATTTATTATTGACTAGCGGCCGCCCGCGACTTCGTACGCGTGGATCTCGTTTTACCAAATTTCAAGAGTCTATCTTACGCGGTTTAGATTTTTACATACAAATGTTTTTTCCCACTAACTCCCGTTCCCGTGGGAATTTTACAATATCCTGTTGTAACTAAGCTTTAAGTTTACTAAGGTACCTGCATGCCAAATTTCAAGCGTCTAAGTTAAGCGGTTTAGATTTTTCATACAAAAGGATTTTCCCGCTAATTCCCGTTCCCGTGGGAATTCCTAAGTATCCAATAACCTGCCCAGGAGTATGAAGAATAATTGTACCAAGTTTCGTTAAAATCCGTCGAGTAGTTTTTGTTTCTATAAGGAACATACAGACAGACAGACAGACAAAAATTTTACTGATTGCATTTTTGGCATCAGTATCGATCACTAATCACCCCCTGATAGTTATTTCGAAAATATATTTCATGTACAGAATTGACCTCTCTACAGATTTATTATAAGTATAGATATAGCACATGATAACAATTAAAATAATTACATGCATAAATAAAGAGAGTAATCGCTTAAAATATTATATTTATGTTGTCATTTAAGTCTCTTTACGTTGAACAATATACATGAAATTATAGAAATGTTGCCGACGTAAAAGGGCAATGCGTAAAATCTCAAAATATATAAGAAAAATATAAAAATTGATAACAGCAGTAGCAAAAGCATTACATGTTAAGGCTAAATGTGAAATTTCATTAAATTCGTTTTAGTAGGTCAGAAGATATGACCCAAAAATATGGTTCTGGCCACTAAAATGGCTCTCCTGTAAAATTTACTTTTTTCACTTACGCCAGTATACGTAGGAGACATCGCTATGTTCTTCTGATTAATTTCGTTACGGGTCCAATGACAGTTTAACTTTCCCCCGGGACAAACGTGACCTTCACTGGTTGGGTTTTTATGGCGGTCAAGCTGTAGATCCTGGTTACGCAGAAGTTGTAGCGGTGGGAATACTCACCTCGAATATCATGTCCTGGTAGCCGTAGCAGAAGGTGGATCCAAAGGGGTTGGTGGTATTAGTGAAAGAGGCTCTGGTTGGCTGCTGACTGGCTGACTCCTGACTCGTGGCTCTCGCAGCAGACTTCTAGCTCCTTGAGCCATCTCCTGGGCCTTGTGCAAGGGTACTCACCTCGAAGATCATGTCCTGGTAGCCGTAGCAGAAGGTGGAGCCGAAGGAGTGTTGGTGGTGGAGGCTGGGTGTCTGCTGTATACCTAAGCGCGGCTACTATCTGGTTAAGCTTAAGTCCTTTTGGTTGCTAGCTCGCTAGCTCCTAGCTCACTCACCTCGAAGATCATGTCCTGGTAGCCGTAGCAGAAGGTGGATCCGAAGGGGTTGGTGGTATTAGTGAAACAGGCTCTGGTTGGCTGCTGACTGGCTGACTCCTGACTCGTGGCTCTCGCAGCAGACTCCTGGGTCCTTGAACCATCTCCTGGATCTTGTGCAAGGGTTCTCACCTCGAAGATCATGTCCTGGTAGCCGTAGCAGAAGGTGGATCCGAAGGGGTTGGTGGTGGAAACTTTGGGTGTCTGCTGTATACCTAAGCGCGGCTACTATCTGGTTAAGCTAAAGTCCTTTTGGTTGCTAGCTGGCTGACTCCTGCCTCCTGTCACTCACCTCAAAGATCATGTCCTGGTAGCGGTAGCAGAAGGTGGATCCGAAGGGGTTGGTGGTGTTGGTGGAGGAGACTCTAGCTGGCTGTTTGCTAATTGAGATTGGCTGACTCCTGAACTCCTGGTCTGGTTCCTTAGTCCTGTTGGAAACCACTCACCTCAAAGATCATGTCCTGGTAGCCATAACAGAAGGTGGATCCAAAGGGGTTGGTGGTATTAGTGAAAGAGGCTCTGGTTGGCTGCTGACTGGCTGACTCCTGACTCGTGGCTCTCGCAGCAGACTCCTGGCTCCTCAAGCCATATCCTGGATCTTGTGCAAGGGTGCTCACCTCGAAGATCATGTCCTGGTAGCCGTAGCAGAAGGTGGAGCCGAAGGGGTTGGTGGTATTAGTGAAAGAGGCTCTGGTTGGCTGCTGACTGGCTGCCTCCTGACTCGTGGCTCTCGCAGCAGACTCCTGGCTCCTTGAGCCATCTCCTGGATCTTGTGCAGAGGTTCTCACCTCGAAGATCATGTCCTGGTAGCCGTAGCAGAAGGTGGAGCCGAAGGGGTTGGTGGTATTAGTGAAAGAGGCTCTGGTTGGCTGCTGACTGGCTGCCTCCTGACTCGTGGCTCTCGCAGCAGATTCCTGGCGCCTCAAGCCATATCCTGGGTCTTGTGCAAGGGTTCTCACCTCAAAGATCATGTCCTGGTAGCCATAACAGAAGGTGGATCCGAAGGGGTTGGTGGTGTTGGTGGAGGAGGCGCGGTTGAGCACGACGGGGCGCGCGCACACGCGCAGCGCGCGCGACACCACCTCCCACTTGCTGTACGCCGTGACTGACACCACGCCGCGGTTGTCCACCAAGGAGTTCGGGTCGCATCTGGAGTCACACGTTAAAAACTACAATAGACATGTTGACACCACTAATCAATTGACGTACTTTTTAAAACTGTCAAAACGAAACTCTGTCTGTCTGTCCCATAGATTTTGTATGACACTACAAGCAAGTGACGTCACTATTTTATCAACTCAATTAAACTACTTTTTTTAATTACAATGCGAATAAAAATCGTAATTTACAGGTAATTTAAAATTAATTAAGTTTTTAACCCCAGAATGAAGGGTCTTTTTAAAAAAGTTGTTGTTTCGAATTATTGGGGTATGGTGTCAAACTGTCTATTGTAACGTGTCGTTTATCTACAATACATTAAACATCAAAAAGTTAAAAGGAAACAGGACGCTGCAAATTGGAAAGATAATAAATGTTCAGTATTTTTAATTTACTTTCAATAAATGGCGCCTTTAAATTTACCCACCTATAAATAAACGGTTAATTAAGGGTAAACGAAAGTACCACTGTCTGTCTCAGGTCATAATTATGACATACTAGCTTTTGCCCGCGGCTTTACCCGCCTGAAATTTAGTTTGTCACAGATCGTCATAAATTATAGTAATACTGTAAAGTTTCAACAAAATCCGTTCAGTAGCTTTTGCGTGAAAGAGTAACAAACATCCAGACATCCAAACATCCAGACATCATGACATCCAAACTTTCGCATTTATAATATTAGTAGGATGTGGCGTTTTTGTAGAACATCATCATCATTTCAGCCACAGCACCACTTTTCGTCCCCTGCTGAACATAAGCCAATGCTTTCTATGTTGCCCGGTTATAAAGCTTAAAAAGGTAAAAAACAATGCCATGGATAAATTAGCTACCAAAGGGTTATCTCGCACCATTTTGGCTATAACGAACTTAGTCTCGCTCGTATCACTATGATAAATAGCTAGTTTAGTCACGCACCACTGCGTGTAGTTGCGAGCTAACGCCCGTATTCACAAACATTACTATGACGTCTCACAGTGTGACACACGAACCAATCGAAGAGCACTATTCAACGCTGTGCGTTCGATTTGCTGATTCAATTAAGCAAGCATCGTTTGTGAATACAGGCGTTAGTCTCGCACCACTGTGCGTAGTAGCGAGCTTAGTCCCGCACCACTGTGTAGCAGCGTAATTAGTTCCGAGCTTAGTCCAATGCTGCTTTAAATAAAACGTGCTTAGTTCCGTGCCACCCTGTAAAAAACAAACTTATGCCCATTTTTACCATCAATCCCTAATTTTAAGTGACCCCTTTGAAAAAAAATCCTGTTATGTGTTACCATAGGGGTCACTTAAAAATTAGGGATTGATAGTGAAAACGGGCATCAGTCTATGTAGTTTGGCACTCACTTGTCGGGCTGCACGGCAAGCTCGAACTCGCAGCGGTGGTACATATTAAAGTTGTAATGACCCGGGTAGTTGGTGTGAAACTTATTACCTATATCTTAGTCTTATTTTATTTATTTATTTTATTTATTTATATTAGGAAGACCAGGGTTTACATAATTGATTATTTTACAGTTAATAACTCTTGATAACCACTTATAGGTCCCCACAGATAGAATTGTGGTGAATATTATTTTAAAGAAATTATAAAAACAGATAAAATTTATACGATACACGATACACCTAATGTTGTAATAAAGAGATAGTAATTTTACCATATTAGAGTTCCCGTTACCTCATATTTATAATAAACAACATGATAAAAAAAAAAAAACTTACATGATAGGCTTGAAAAAACGCTCGCTCAGCAGCCGCCTAAGCGCTGGTATGCTAGTATAGAATAAATCAATATCTAGTTCCTTACTCAGTCTGTTAAATCTGTCGCCAGCACGCCATATAAAGCTATTCTGTCTATAGTTAGTGGTCGCCTTCGGAAGAAAAATAAGTGGATTAAATCTCATGGGCCTTAGAGGCGCCCTCAGAGATATTTTGGCTAGTAGGTGTGGGCAGTCAATTTCACCTGTGGCAATCTTTTGCAAATATGTGACGTCCGCTATCTCGCGCCTCAGTTCCAAAGGAAGAAGGTGGTGTTTTCTGCAGAGGGGTAGGTATTCTGAGGAATTATAAGATTCTTTCATGCGAAAGCAGATAAATTTCACAAACTTCCTCTGAATACTCTCCAGTCGAGATATGTACACCTGATATCTAGGGTTCCAAACCTGTGACGCATATTCTAAGTGGCACCACTGTGTGTAGTTGCAATGTTAGTCCCACACCACTTTGTGTAATAACGAGCTTAGTCTCACACCACTAGGTCCACTATGGTAGTTACAAGCTTAGTCCCACACCAATATGTGTAGTTACATCTAAGTACAGGAGCGAGCTTAGATTAGTCCAACACTAGCCTATGACTCACTTGTCGGGCTGCACGGCAAGCTCGAACTCGCAGCGGTGGTACATATTAAAGTTGTAATGACCCGGGTAGTTGGTGTGAAACTTATTACCTATATCTTAGTCTTGCACCACTGTGTGTAGTTGCAATGTTAGTCCCACACCACTTTGTGTAATAACGAGCTTAGTCCCACACCACTATGGTAGTTACAAGCTTAGTCCCACACCAATATGTGTAGTTACATCTAAGTACAGGAGCGAGCTTAGCCAACACTAGCCTATGACTCACTTGTCGGGCTGCACGGCGAGCTCAAACTCGCAGCGGTGGTACATATTGAAATTGTAATGACCCGGGTAGTTTGTGTGAAGCACGAACTTTTTCACTTGGTGCGTACACGCATCAAATAGCACGTCCTGGAATCACAAAAAAAAATCAAGTCACTAAATAGAGATGTAAACAGCAAGAGTTTGAATTAGTCAGTCTGTTAACTTATCAAAAAATACTCGAAACGTATTTTTCACTTTTTCAAACTAATGATAACTTTTAAAAAAAATAAAACCGACTTCAAATGCGTGAACACAAAAAAAAAACTAAAAATTGAAAATATTGCGTATAAAAAAGTTCATCCCCAATTTTCCACCCTTGGGGGTGAAATATTTTCTTCAAATTCGCATGAAACCACCCTTTTGATAATACCTATTCAACAAAAAAATAATCGTTCAAATTGATTTATAATCGGCGGAGATATTGCGTATAAAAAAGTTCATCCCCAATTTTTCACCCTTGGGGGTTGTTTTTTCTATTATTAAATTTAAATGGGACCACCCTTGAGGTATTACCTATACGCAGAAAAAAGATTTGTTCAAATCGGTTCATAATTGGCGGAGTTATCGCGTAACAAACATAGAAAAAAAAAACATATGGGTCGAATTGAGAACCTCCTCCTTTTTTGAAGTCGGTTGAAAATTAAAAGAGATAAAGGGCGCCAAAGTTCAAAAGAAGAGGCCTGTGACGTCAAGAAGTTTATAAAAGTGTAGCACTATGTGACGTCACGCGGAACTTCAACGCATCATAACATCGTAATTACTTGTTTGATTGACAAGTAATTTCGAATTTACTTTGACATCACTTACCAGGCCAAGCGTGAAGTAGTTGAAGAAATAGTCGGACGCGGGCGGCGGGCGGCGGCGCGCGGTCGGCCGGTGGATCCGCATCTGTGCGACACAACATCACATGTTAGCTGGTAGCTTTTACAAACACAAAAGAGCCATAAAAAGTTCTTATAACGCTCTTATTTTCAGCTAAGGAACGACCACTGCTATTCATATGCCTCCAAATGATTTCAACGACTGGAATGTCCACTGCTAAGCATAGGCCTCCCAGGATTTCCACAACGACCGGTCCTGTGCTGCCCGCATCCATGTGCTTTCCGTGACCTTCACCAGATCGTCGGTTCACCAAGTTGGAAGCCGATGTTGCGTTTTCCGTTCCGTGGGAACCACTTGAAAAGTGTTCCTGACTCAACGGCTATCAGTTCTACGTGCTATGTGTCCCACCTACGGCCACTTAAGTTTGGGGATGCTGCGTTTTGTTTCACAATTAGTTTGTTTTGTTCACAGCAAAGCAAGTTAGTTTGTTATTAATCAATAATGTCAAGACATTATTTTTAAGCAGTGTCCCACCACTCTTAGGTACTTAAGAAAGTAACACAATCTATGTAGAAACTTATATAAAATCCGGTCGAGTTAACTGCGCACCTCACTGGAATGCGATTCATTCTCGCACTCACCTGCACATTTCCCCGCATTCGTCCCATTCGTACCATAACATCGTTGTGATGTGACGTCACGGCCGCCAGATGCGCAGTTGTCTCGACCGAGTTGTAGAGACTTACTATTTCTGCTCTTCCCTGCTCTTTGATACGCCCATGACCTTGCCTGTAAAACGTCACATTATTTCAAACCTAGGTACCTTGTCGTCCGCCTTGTAGTAGAGGCGCGCGGGGGCGCCGAGCGCGCGCGCGACCGCCTGGCAGCTGTCGCCGAAGCGCAGCACGACACACCGCCACCTGCACCGGCTCCAGCCGGCTGTGCCCGCAGCACGACCCCCACCTTGTCGTCCGCCTGCAGCACGACAACCTACCTTGTCGTCCGCCTGCAGCACGACAACTCACCTTGTCGTCCGCCTGCAACACGACCACCTACCTTGTCGTCCGCCTGCAGCACGACAACTCACCTTGTCGTCCGCCTGCAACACGACCACCTACCTTGTCGTCCGCCTGCAGCACGACCACCTACCTTGTCGTCCGCCTGCAGCACGACAACTCACCTTGTCGTCCGCCTGCAACACGACCACCCACCTTGTCGTCCGCCTTGTAGTAGAGGCGCGCGGGGGCGCCCAGCGCGCGCGCGACCGCCTGGCAGCTGTCGCCGAAGCGCAGCACGACACACCGCCCCTGCACCGGCTCCAGCCGGCTGTGCCCGCAGCACGACCCTACCTTGTCGTCCGCCTGCAGCACGACCGCCTACCTTGTCGTCCGCCTACAGCACGACCCTACCTTGTCGTCCGCCTGCAGCACGACACCCACCTTGTCGTCCGCCTGCAGCACGACCACCTACCTTGTCGTCCGCCTGCAACACGACCACCTACCTTGTCGTCCGCCTGCAACACGACCACCTACCTCGCCCGCAGCACGACACCCACCTTGTCGTCCGCCTTGTAGTAGAGGCGCGCGGGGGCGCCCAGCGCGCGCGCGACCGCCTGGCAGCTGTCGCCGAAGCGCAGCACGCGGCACACCGCCACCTGCACCGGCTCCAGCGCCCGGCTCGTGCCTGCAACACGATCATAGAGGTTTCAATAGTAATTATATTACATTACACCACATAAAATAAAGGTGCCCTACGTGAGCCATATGAGCAGAGTAAATACAAATGAGTAGGTCATCTTCATAGAAACGCACCGAGCGCGGCGAGTGCGACGCGCACGCACATACTGACAAAATTCGGGACAACTCAAAGCTAATCAACGCTAAATTTTGTCAGTGTGTGCGTGCGCGCCGCATACGTGTTGGCGCGCTCACATACAAACCGCGCTCGGGCGTTTCTATGAAGACGACCTATTCATTTGTATTTACCTGATATGAGTCTGGAACGCAACATCACTATAGTAGTTTGCCTCAAGCGTTCCCTGCTCGGATGGCGTCATTACGCCTCCAACGAGCGGTAATACAGTAATAGTGTCGTATTTAAAGTACGTAAGGCACGACTTTTTTAGACACCATCAGACAATAAGTACACAACCAACGATACAGTATGGCGTATAGCGTGCTTAGTCCAGTATCACTATGTATAGTAACAGTAAGCTTAGTTTCGCACCACTGTGTACGGTTTATTTTTCCGTAAGGAAAATGATATGGGATGGTACGTTAGTAAGTTAAAGTAGAATGCAACAAGGTTTTTTTTAAATGGTGAATGGTCATTTATTTGCATAACATAGAAGGTTCAACAGATGGAACAGTTACAAGATGACTAATATGTTACTTCGTTGTTGAGCAAGAATGGCTTTGACTCTGCCGCGCCGTGTGTACTGAGTACTGTTAAATATGAGACGTGGGACGCGAGTGAAACAACTGCTTGCTAAAGACACACTGGTTTATTTCTACAATATTCCATGCACATGCGTGTACGTGTACTGACCTTGCGTGAACGTGTACTGACCTTGCGTGAACGTGTACTGACCTTGCGTGAACGTGTACTGACCTTGCGTGAACGTGTACTGACCTTGCGTGAACGTGTACTGACCTTGCGTGAGCATGTACTGACCTTGCGTGAGCATGTACTGAACTTGCGTGAACGTGTACTGATTTTGCGTGAACGTGTACTGACCTTGCGTTAAAGTGTACTGACCTTGCGTGAACGTGTACTGACCTTGCGTGAACGTGTACTGACCTTGCGTGAACGTGTACTGACCTTGCGTGAACGTGTACTGACCTTGCGTGAACATGTGCAGGCGCAGGCCCTGCGTGGCGCCGGCCGCGCGCAGCACGTGGCAGCGGCGTAGGTGCAGCTGCTGCCGGTAGCACGACAGCGGCAGTTCTGGCAGCGGCGCCGCGCAAGTTTCGCCCGCGCTACTGGCCTGCAGAGAAACATCCTCATGTTTTTATTATTATTATTATTGGTATTGGGCCTTCATTTGCGCCAGCTCGACCAGGTTTGATCTATTGTGGCAGCCCTTGTCTTTAGAGTTCACTGCTTAGTCCCGTTGAGTCTATAAATTTCCAGATTCTTTGGAGCGTGATATCTGCTATCTCATTCGGGTGCATGATGTGTCGCCCGAGATGGATACTTCTTTTGCTCATAAGCGGACCGCATGAGCAAAGAACATGCATGGCCGTTTCTTCTTCTGTATGGCAGAATCTGCACATGTTTTTAATACTGGCCACAGATAACGCTGAACTATCTGTCAGGCACTTGTCCCAAGTAGGGATGTTATGGATATGTAGTTTCGGTTATGGATACGGTAACGGATATTGGAATAATATTATACCGGTTTCGGTTACGGATATTTTTTTATTTCGGATATCCGAAAGTTTCGGTTACGGTTACGGATATCTGTGTTAAGTGTAGAATGCAAATTCCAATAGTTTTCCAAAACAGTTCATGCCTTACGAATAGAATAGGTACAGAAGAGATTTCTTTGCAATCTGTCACCTTCTTTTGGTCTCACAAAAAAGCTTTTATCTTATGGGAAAAAACTCATGTACTTCAAAATGAAATCATTGAATAAGCGTAGGGACTTGCTTGACTCTGCCTACATCCGAAACTATCCGAAAAATATGAATCGGTTATGGTTACGGTTACGGATATTTTTTTATTTCGGATATCCGAAAATTTCGGTTAAGGTTACGGATATCCATAACATCCCTGGTCCCAAGGCGTTATTTATGCTTCAACCACACCAACGCATGCAGATCGCCATCGCCGGCGCGATCAAAGGCCAATGACAGATCGTGCGACTTGTCATTTCCTTATATTGGTATGTTTGAAGCTTTACACGTTTCGTCTCCGCTCAGCTTTAGTGGAAACGGTTGAGCAGAGACGAAATATGTGGAGCGGGAACAAGCAGGTTTTTCCAGAAAGAGTCTACACAGATCTTCGGTCCACCTGAATAACCTCGAATTACCTGCCTGCTCGTCTTCTACATCGCTTCTCGAGCTAACTGTAGTGGAAAGAAAAGTGTCAATATGAACTAACATGATTGCTTTAAATCCCCCGTCCTCACAGTTCCACTCCATCCCTCTTTTTACCGCTCCAGTAATCGACGGCGATGGAACAAAACTCAAATACTGACAATAGCCCAAAATATTACAATCAAATGTCAAACTTACCTGGTGTTGAGATCCATAGTAGATAGTGGTCCGGGAGACGACTGGCGAGCCCCCGTTAGGAAACTGTAGCGAGCCCAGCCCGTGCGCGTAGCCAGGCTGCAAGCAAATTAAGACCTTATTCAACACATTTTCTGAAGGGTTGAGGGTTTTCGCGAATGAAAAATCCGCCAGATGGCAATACGTAGACGCGAGGTCCAAATGCTGCATGATTGGTTATTTTTGACATGACATTGACAGATATGTCAAAATCCACCAATCACGCAGCAGTCAGAACTCAGACCCCACATCCACGTCCCGCCATCTAGCGGATCTTTCATTCGCGAAAACCCTCATTGGCTTGCAATTTTTAGATCCAAAGTGTCAAATTGCTGTGCTTAAACAATATGTCGGGATTTCTTGGCAGGAAAGTAAAACATCATGCATGTTTAGCAGTTTTCTGTTATGAACGAAACATGCTACCTCGTGTTTCGTTCTTAACAGGAGGTTTCGTTCTTGTAGGAGCTTAAAATTTCTGGGAGGGCAGGCAGGCGGTTCGTTTCAGCCAAATGACGACAAAAGCCTTCCCCAAGAACTTCCACAACAAACCGGTCCTGCGCCACCTACATCCAGGCACCTCCCGCGACCTTCGCCAGATCGTCGGTCCTGCCCTCACCACGTCTTCCGACCCGTGGTCGCCACTCAAGAACTTTTCTGCTCCATGGGCGGTCAGGCAGGCGGTACGCCTAAGTATCAAGTATCATGCATGAATAATTACTTGAATCCATAAAAAAATACACATACCTCGAATTTACTATCAACAGGGAAGTAAAAAGACAACCCCCTGAAGTTCAACGCGAACAGATGGCGCTGCGAGTCGTACAGGCCGGGATGCGTCGCGCCGAAGCAGTGCTCCACTTGCTCGATAGATGGCGTTATCTCGGGCGAGTTGAAACACATGCCGCTGTAGGAAAATGAACCTTGTTAAAATGGTGTACGATTGAATTTTGTATGGTTACATTGGTCGTGGATATGAGAAGAAGTGATGACATTTATCAACGATAGCAGCCCGACGCAAAGTACCGTATTTGTGGTGTCAAGCCCCAGAAGGGGGAGAATTGACTATGAGAAGGGACATGGATCAGATAAATTTGTAGGGAGTCAAGCAAAGCGCGGGGAGCATCGCGCCGAAGCAGTGCTCCACTTGCTCGATAGATGGCGTTATCTCGGGCGAGTTGAAACACATGCCGCTGTTGGAAAATGAACCTTGTTAAAATGATGCACGATTGAATTTTGTATGGTTACATTGGTGGTGGATATGATTAGGCCGGGGAGCATTGCGCCGAAGCAGTGCTCCACTTGCTCGATAGATGGCGTTATCTCGGGCAAGTTGAAACACATGCCGCTGTAGGAAAATGAACCTTGTTAAAATGATGTACGATTGAATTTGGTATGGTTACATTGGTTGTGGATATGACATAGAATATTATAGAGTGTAATAATGTGGTAGGCACATGTGCAGTGTTTTATCAAAACATATTTTCATATTACATACATTAATTTTGGATGATTTAATCCATTTGTCAATAAGGAAAAAATATTGTGCCTATTCTTTTACCTACTTTAATGTTTATAGTCTAATCTAATAAACAGGTCAATTTAATAATAACAATAAGGTACAACATAATTTATGTGTTACTCATTTTTTTCCTTAATTAGTTGATCATTGAGTATACAGGGTAAGAATACATCCAGACATCCACAGTTACTAAAAAAGGCAATAAGCCAATAAAACACTTTATTAATATTGAACCTAATTTAACTAACATCTACACGGACTACAAGCAGTTGTTTCACACAAATTAATGTCAGCCAACTTTCAATGTAACGTTACTTTCTCTAGATCTATAAAATGTAATTAAATAATAATAAGAGTACATTTTAATGGATAAGATTCACTTCAATAATATGTGTACCTGATTATTCAATCGTAAATTAGCTGAAGAATTTAATATTAATCGGCTGCCAAGTCTAAAAAAAAACTTTTTGCAACCACATAAATAATATTCTATTGTTCAATTCCTCATTTTTTTAATTCCTAACAAATACATTGTTTGATATGATATAGGTTTCATTCTCAACTGATCTGTACGTTCAAAGACACTGAAAATAAGCAATAAAATTATTTGCAAAGAAAAGGTAGAGCTAGGCTGGTAATTATTGTAATGTGTACTTGAAGCAGAATATATTTGTTTCTGCTGCAACAATTAAGACCTTAAACGGTGTAATACTTTACGAGTATCCATTGAGATGAATTCAAGACAGCCTATTAACTCGAATCGCCCTGTATACAATAAAATCGCAAGACGAACAGCAATTAGCATTACAATGCTATTAGGTCAACGCTCATACGAACACGTTTAAAATAAATTAAACATAACACTCCTTATGCCAAAGGATTACAGTTCAAAATACAACAGACAGTGATGAGTATACATTTACTAGCTGTGCCCGCGACTTCGTACGCGTGAAAATAATTTGAATATTTCGCGATTTTGCAACATTTTTCATTACTGCTCCGCTCCTATTGGCTGTAGGATGATGTTATATACCCTAAAGCCTTCCTCCATAAATGGGCTATCCAACACAAAAATATTTTTTCAAATCAGACCAGTTTCTGAGATTAACGCGTTCAAGCTAACAAACTCTTCAGGTTAGTTAACGCCCGCGACTTCGTACGGGTGGACCCCGTTTTACCCCCTCAGGGATTGAATTTTGCAAAATCCCGTCTTAGTGAGCACCTACGTTCTAAAAGGAACCTCCATGCAAAATTTGACACTTATAGCACTTGTAGTTTCTGAGATTTCATGATGAGTGAGTGAGTCAGTGACCTTTCGCTTTTAATAGATTATAATATGTATGAGATGTTTGTGATACTTAATAACCATGTCATCTGGTTCCAAACTGTTGGCAGGGCTTACTTGTGTTGATATGATCTCCCACATTGTTAACTGTTTTGTAGTGTGATACAAAGTAAATTTATATTTGGCTGTCCTTCATCTATAAATATTGTAGTATCTCTCAGAAACATACAAAATTTGTTACCAATAAAATATGCGTTTTGCTTATTTGTAATTTATTGTTTATTGACTACTAGCTGACCCGGCGAACTTTGTTCCGCCTTAATGGCAATTAATAAGCAGACTTTTTTTAATTTCGAACGTGTCCTTCTCCTGGCTCTAAACTACCTCCCTGACAATTTTCAGCTAAATCGGTTCAGCCGTTCTTGAGTTATAAGTGGAGTAACTAACACGACTTTCTTTTATATATATAGACTTTTATATATATATATTTAATAACTCGTTTATTGGTTCTATTCCGTTCGTCTTATTGATATTATTATGTAATTCTATAATTACAATAGTTTATTGAAAATTACAGGCGTCAAGAACTCTGAAGTAGCGCGATTAAAAACGAGTCAAAACTGGCTGAACCAGACCAAGTCAATAAAGTTATGGGGCTTCTTTCGAAAACTGCTGTACTGTAATAGCTGTTGTATGGAAGTACAACTTTCTTTAATTACCTAGCAGGTAAAAAACAGGAGGAACTTATACATTTTACCGCAGAGACTTTAACGCTACCGTTTAGGAGGAGCGTGGAATGTGCATGTCAACGTGGAATTATGAACTCCGTCAGTTTATAATATAACGCATGAGATTGTAAACTAATGGTAGGTCAGCTTAGATTGTAATCTAACTACGTCAGATTATAATCTGACGGCATTTACAATTTTTTTTTATTCACAACGAGGAAGCTCTTGGCTTGTATCTCACCTGATGGTAAGTGACAATCAGGCCGAAGGTGGAAGCGACATTTACGGTGACATGCATAAGAATCTTACCACATTGATAAAGCTAAGCCTGTCACACCTTATTATCGCTCGTTCCTATGGGGCCTGGCTGACCCGACCGCTGATAACTGGCCATAACCCTCGGTTATCTTAACTGCCAGATAGCCGAGGACAACGGTTCGCTATCTATACGATTGCTAATTAAGATTTCCTTATACCTTCAGGGCTATTATAGGGTAGCGAATGTTGTGCTGTCTAAAGCGACTAAATTAACGGAACTGTCCATTTTTCGCCTATTTATAGACAGGTATTTGTTACGTGAATTATTTTTCAAATATTATGTAACAATAAGAAAAGTAAGTGTAAATACATGAACACTCAGCATCAATTGTGGTAAAGAAATAAAGTTATTTTTTGTTTTTTTACTCAACTGCGCCAAAAGGAGGGTAATTTGATAAATGATATTTTTGCTGTCCTAATCAAAGATTGAACCCGAAGAGTTTTGAGAAAACCACCTTTTAGTATACCAGCAATAACTTATAGTAAAAATTAACAAGGGTCACGAACGCGATCATTTTAAAATACAAACCCTATGATTGCTGATGCTAAAATAATAATTTCCTATACCGGCCTTTTTCGTGAAACTTTCAGAAGTGAAAAAGACTGATGTACGGTCTTTTTCACTAACATGAGTATGGCGGAAAGAGTGAAAAGGACAGATTTCCCGTTTCGCTAATCAGCCAGCCAGCCGGACCTGCATAATTAATCCGAGCTATTTTCAGGAATCGCTGTAAGCGTTATGGGTTTTATTTATAAAGGAGAGCAAATATGAGCGTATAATCCATACTGCTGTACCCGAGTTTGTTTGTAACTGGTGGCCTTTCTCGACTTTGTCCGCGAAGGTAAATAAACTTCTAAACTCTTGCCTTTACCCCTAGATTTCTTCAAGAGGGGTCAAATCAAAAGGGCTTGTGATTTTTTCGGATTTGTTCCAATCAATGAGGTCTGCGGTCAGGTCAAAGTAAATGCTGCCTGCATAATGTTTGATTACTTTGACCGGATCGCAGACCGCATCCAGTGAGGCAATCCTTTAAATACCCAAATGTTGTAAGTATACCTATGGTAAGAAACACGATGGCGACAGATTATTTGAGTTATACGAAGGTAGGAGGATGATGATGATGATTAATGTAGCGTAGCTCGCCAGCCAATCCAGCCATCATTATGATAATGCTAATTAAAGAACATTCCTGCCGATTTACTGGGACCTACGGGTTAATACGCCGCTCCTCCTTTTAGACACATAAATGCTTTTTGTAAAATATTGGAAAATTACGATGAAAGTTATTTTTAAATCAATTATGTTGTGAACTCGGCCATCTTCCGTAACGACATCGATCGATCAATGGGTCAACTAGTAAATATAGTTGTGTATGTAGAAAAATAACAAAGAATACTTACCAATACCTAAGTTTAACTAATTTCATATTGTATATCTCTATAATCTTGAGCCGCTGCGCCACCGGATCGAATATTAACCGCACGCCGTCCTGTGGCATATTTATTACTAGTTCCACTGATAACGGATTCTGTGAACAAAAATAAAATTAGACAGAACGCTTCACAAAAACATCATCTAGGTAACAAAACAACAGAGACTTTTCATCTTGTCTAAAGATGATAGCATTTTTGCAATTACAAAAATAGTTCAACTATCCAATCAGATAGCGTTAGTCAGAGCCGCTGCTATTGATTACAAGCCTCTATGTTTTACGAGATTTAATTTTAAATGGACTTATGTTTCAGGATCGGAGAGCACCCTACGCTACCATTGCCTTGTCAAAGATGTCTCCATCCACTCAAAAATAAGTTCACCTGTATGATGTTGGTTACATTTGCATGCACCAGCTAGGTCTTTAACGCTAGTTCACCCTTTTGGTGATCATCATCATAAAGAAGTTAGATATAGACCTACGTACGCCACACGAGCGACCCTGGGACGCTTTGCATCCATCGAATTCCTGGAAATCATAACTAGGTCACCGGGCCACTTACTGTCTGTCTGTAGTTCGACATTAAGTTACGGGACTGTTCCCACCTCTCGTTCCAAGTCTTGTGTACTAACCAAGATTTACAGTTTGACCGCCAATAAAAACTCAACCAGTGAAGGCCAAGTTTGTCCCAGGAAAACAAAATGTCCAACGAAATTAATCAAAAGAAAATAGTAGGAGTAAGTTAGGTTCCTTCCTATTAAGTAATAAAAATATTAATTTCACAAGAAGCATGTGTTACCTTTCATTCTCTAGCAATTAGGCCCGGTTTCCACCGAAGTGGAGGAGAGGATAATGTGAACAGATGTCATTTCGGAAATGGGATTGTTTATTCAAAGTTTCAAACACATCTCTTCAATCAACTCCTATCAACCCTTATTTATTTTTAACTGGCAATAACGTACCTGATCACTATATAGTACTTGTACTCCTCTTATTGTGCCCACTTGACTCTGGATGATGGCGACGGCTTGGGAGAAATGCATCCCTGAAATAATAAAGTTTCGCGTTAGAAAGTAATAAAAAATACAGCGCAAATTTACGGCACGTGTAAGTAGTAGTGGTACAGTAAGATGCAGATATTTGTTTCATTTTGCGATGTTTCGAACACATTATTGACATTTCAATCTTGGGGAACTCCCTACTTGTAATTTGGGGAAATGTTTATGGAGATATGAGAGAAGGCCGTCCGCTCTCCTCCTATCCTCATATAGGCTTCCATAAAAGGATATATGTATCTAGAAAAGAACATGACAATATTAACTTCTGTGCAAAACTAACGATTACTGCTCTAGATTTCTAGAATCTAAATATTATATCAATGGTACGGGGTTTTACACTGCGGGCGCTGGACGCAGGCCGCACCAACCGGGCAACATGGAACGCATTGGGGGAGGCCTATGTTCAGCAGTGGACGTCCTATGGCTGAGATGATGATGATGATGATGATGATGACGGGGTTTTAACACACAGATAGTTTTATGGATTGTTCAGCCGAGAATCCTAGAATTCTCTACCGCTTCCCGTCACGCTACACGGACAACTCAAATAATTAGGTCATTTTAATCGTAGCAAATAACTAAAGTGACATAATACGTTTGTACTCCTCATTATTTATGTAACTATCTTGTCAATTTTGCTTGAGCTTCGGTCTACCACAACCTGTATGGCACCTAAGTCCCAATTTCTAGGTTCTATCTATTGGTGAAAATCAAAGAAAAAGGATTGATTTTAGTGATTGATTGATTTGGCCATCGTTTCATAATATGGGCCTATTATTATCATTTATCAAACCATAATAAACGTATTATTGATGACCGTCACCGTTACGTAAGTCTGATCAGTAATCAAAAACATTGAAGTGTCAATAAACTTTCGGCAAAACAATGTATTTCCAGCAATGACGGCCGTTATCGGTAAGGGTTTATCGAGTACATTTAGATCACATGGCTGCGCTTGCGACGATGTCACGTCACGTGGTATGTACATGGAATATGACGTATGGAATAAACATCTAATACATTATAATATATAATAAAAAAATATTAAGTAGTAAAATAATTATAGTTGTTTGTTTCGTCAATTACTTATTCACAAATTCCTTTTTGATTTGATTTGATTCGCAAGCCAGCGACCCAGGTAATTTGGGCAGACTGTACTTGAATTTGAACGTGACGCGTGCGGTCTTCTGTAAATCAATTTTCAACTTACATTCCTGCTTACAAAACAGGTGAAAAATTGGGAAATAGCCCTACTCCCATCATCGTCTGGTCATTTACGCCCGTATTCACAAACGATACTTGCTTAAGTGAAGCGGCAAATCGAACGCACAGCGTTGAACAAAGCTCTGTGATTGGTTCATGTGTCACCCTGTGCGTCCACGCGCACTGTGAGACCTCATAGTAATGTTTGTGAATACGGGCGTATGTCTCCACTGCAGGAGAATGGCTGTCTCTAAGGTTTTCTCTTTATCAGAGGCAAACGGAGGATTAGGCTTACACTCCTCACGCTGTCCAGATGAATCAGAAGAATTGAGGTCACTATCCTAGGTTTGGTCTAAAAAAAAAATATTTTTTTACCCACAACGAGGTAGTTTTTGACCTGATGGTAAGTGATGATCAGTTAAAATTGAATTAAGCAATAATTCAATTTTAACTAGGTGTTTATTGTCTCATGTTATTGTAATCCACAATTGACAGAGATATTGCATTTACTGGATAAAACGACGCCTCAACACTTTAAAACAGATTTTTTTTACAATAAATATAAATAATTAAAAATAAATATTTTATGACACGTGGAGTTTCACGTATCAAATATACTTTTGAAAACATGTTATTGGAAATATATCTTTTCAATTAAAATAAAGTGTTATCATCACTCGCATTCGTCACAGGCAAATATTTGCAAATCGCTATTGCGTGTTATGATAACATCAAGGACAATCAACAAAACAAAATACGTTAATCTACTACGGGATTTGCACCGATATTTTGCTAAGAGGTCATAGTACAGGAAATTTTATACGCAATAACATCTTTAATCTTATCCTGTTTTGATTATTTTCAAGTTTTCAGCTCAATAATAAAATTTCGATATTTCTGATCCGCCTCGGATGTATGAGAGAAGTTCTTTGGCCTAACGATGATATCAACGTTTTGAAATAATAATACGATTGAAGAAAAACCACGCTCAGGAAGAGCAGAAAAAAATAATATTAATTAATAATATCCTTAAGAATCAGAATAAATTTTACCTAGGAATTTGTAAGGAAAATTAATACGAAAATTCCCAGTTTTAGATAATAATTTTTCGTATTTTAGTCACCTACAAAATTTGTATTAATCTTAGAAAAAAAAAGGAAAAATATAGGTACAATATTCATCTTTGTGTTCGACTATACGACTAACGAATGAATAATACCTTTGTCAATACAGAGCCTCACAAAGTTGAGGTACCTACCTACCTACCAGCGTCCGTTCCGGTATGCAAATAGAAAGAGGAGGGTAGTTATGTAGCTAACCTAATTAGTGAATGTTAGTGTTGTCCAATACTATCGATAGAGGATCCTGCCCCCCTAAACAAAACGCACTTTTTGATCGAATCGAAAATCGAATCCGTCAAAACTCCATACAAAAAAGGGGCTTTTCGACCACTTTCCGACTGGTTTGCAATTATAATTTGCACTTTGTCTAGACCCACTTAAATTCAGTTACAAGGAAAAATAATAAAGATTAGTGACAGACTGAATTACGCCATAGTTATACAAAACAAAATACATACGTAGTTAAATTACGTAAAAAAAATACGTAGCGGATTACTAAATTGAATCTGTCACAAATATTAAATTTTCTAGGTCTGTAATTTCTTCTGGTACTATCGATTGGAATTATAAATACGTCAAAATTGCGATAGTTTTGATCGATAATGTGTGTTGCAATATCTCACTCGATGCTAGGTATTGTCATGTTCTATAATATTCACTAGGATTCTGGCTATATCGACCTGCTATCGAAAAACTATCGACTACTATCTTTCGCAACACTAGTCAACGTTACAGGGCTCACGGTCGGCAGAGCTTGAAGCTTTGGCGATTTTAATGGAGTTGACGTTTCAAATCCCCTGGGATTTAGAAAATCTTGCATTTGAACTTGATTTTTTTAAACTCATTAACTGAAGTTCAAAGAAGGCTTGTTTGGGGACAGTTATACAATAAATGGGATGAATGATTTAAAATGTTGACTTGTTGTTAGGGCTTTAAAGATTTCTTTTATCATTCTATTTAATTTAAAGAGATGTTGGACTTTGTAGAATTATTGACTTTAAAATAAATTAGTTAAAACTAAGTAGTTATTTTGCTACAGTTTGGCCCTGAGCTTGACTGGAGGAGAATCCCGACTGGCATTAAGTCCGCCTTATGTACAGTTTACAGTGTTATGTGCATACTAAACTCTAAATACCTAAATAAATAATTACGTTTTCTCCCCCATGCATTCCACTGGCAACCATGTGTCCAGACGGATCGATAGGTAGTAGACTAAAATAAGAAAATAAAACTAGCCACAGCCAGGTGAGGATGGCCCCAAGACGCCAATTTGATTTCCCTTTCCATTCACTAGCGATGTCGATTAAGTTTACGGGAATTTTATGTACAGTCGACAGCAAATAAAACTGTACATTTTTATTGCAAAAAGGGGCATATTTCAAAACAACGAATTATTTGCAACATAGTTTACCTGGATGTGCGATATACCTACGTAAGATTTTTTCCAACACTGAGACGTTATTTAATTCTGTCTGGTCGTCATCGCTCCTAAAACTGCTGAAGACTAAGTGATTGAGAGTGTTTATTATTATATGATTCAAGAAATTCTGTTAGTTTCTTTCGTTCGACTAAATAGGTAATTAAGGCTAATAAATACAACGTAGCAAGTCATTTAAGTTAATCTTTTTTTACAGAATTTTCAATGACCGTCAAGTAAGGCATTTTCCAATCATAATAAATAATATTATTATTATTAAATTGATAGAACAAGCCTCAAATCAATGCAGTCTACTTTATTATCACATAGGTACCGCCAACGATTGTGAAACAGACGGCCAATGAGATTCATACATAGCAACACAGAACAATGGATTTAATAGGACATTAAAGGTTATCATTATCATTATCATTATTGCATTGTATTACAAAAATCTACTCATCGCCATGTGTAATATAAAGTTGGCATCGTTTATGGTGCGAGCATAGAACCTATTAGATTTTAATAAGACCTAGGATCTATAATTTATTTATTACTTACTTTAAAAATCGATTGCTTTGGAGATTGGTCAGCAGAGCAGTCACCCGGTGAGCAAAAGATCGCGGGTTCGATTCCCATCAGAGGCTTTGATTTTTTCAAGTTTTAAATTAGTTTAGGTAAGTTTATCATCTTAGATGCAAAATTCTCATTACTATAGGTTTTTAAAGAAAAACAAAAAAGTGTTGTGGCAAGAGGGGTAGTTTTACTGCACTTTTGACAATGTTCTACTCTAACTTCGTTAAAAGTTCGTTCATATATTTTTTTTATGAAAATATGCGACTGACTGTACCAAGCCTTCAGAAATAGCAGGAAGAACAAAAAAAAATCAAAATCAATTCATTAATGGAACACTAACCTATTTAGCTAATTTGAAACGTAATTTAAATACCTACGCAGTTTGATTAATTATCCAGTGCAGTGAGCAATAATATCCAATGAAGGAAATAAAGAACACATGCACTAAAGATAAAGGATTGCAACACAAGTGCAGCTGTTTTGCTTTTTCGTAACAAAAACATTGATGTACACTCAATGATAATAATCAATTTGAAAATTATAAATATGTAACTTGAAAAAATGGAACTGCCTAAGGCGGGAATCGAACCCACGACCTTCCGCTTGCCGGGCGACTGCTCTTCCAACTGAGCTACTTAGTCACTGGATGAGCCTTAGGCAGTTCGACTTTTTCAAGTTATTTCTAATTTTCAAATTAGTTTGAGATGCATCTCTTAATGCTAAAAATTAAATAATAATCAATTTATTTCATGATTACATCTCACTGTTAATGGACTATTAATAACCCCTAAACTTTGCCCTACATTTTCTAATTGGAAAAAAATTACACTAGAATTAACATATAAAGTAAAATATAAAACATTCAACCTATTTCTGGTTTCCTGGTCTGTGTTACATTTATTAATAATATCCCTATAATAAACGAAATAAAGTAAAATAAATTGAGAAAATAAGCAAAATAGTAGGTACCAACTTTTTTCTACAACTACTAATTTTAAACTTAAACTAACTAGTAATTTTACCCTATCGTGCAAAAATAATAATTTTATTTTAGAAGGCACAAATAATTTAAAAATATCCTACATAATATTTCGCTGCGCACTGTACGTTAGTGTAGTTGTAGCATTGAGTTTAATGACTCCATGTTAATGACAAAGGCCTTATCTTCAACTTGAATGTGCTTTTTCACCTAAATAAAGAGACCTGGTTTAATGTGACAGATTTATATTTGATTGTTTGTGACAAGTAGCAATTATGTATTTTTTTAAAAATTGCATTAATGCGAAGATTAATATTTGATTGATTGATTGATTGCTAGTGATGAACAGCAAATTTATTTTTTAAAATTGCATTAATTCAACAGATTTATATTTGAAGCTAGCGATGAGTAGCAAATGTATTTTTAAAATTTGCAATGAGAAAAATTGCCTTTTTTGTTTTTAAAAATTGAAATGTATTGAAAATATCCTATTAGAATTTTATTGGTTTCTAATTGCTATTAGGAATGTAGGGTAAGAAAATTTAACTTCAATTTATTAATTACCTACCTACCCTCCATAGTGTTTATAAAGACAGGTATCATCATTTATGACACTAATCTTATTAGAATTTTTTTAACTAAATTAACATTACATTTAATTGAGTTTTTTTACGAAATGGTTGTGGTTTTTGCATGAGCACTGGACGGCTTATTGGTTCATGTCTCTAAGTGTCAAATTGTGTATGCGGGTTGGACTCCCAATGGCTGCAAAACATATTATACCACAACCACTAGCATTTATATCCAGCGTCATAATGTTTGTAATGTATTTTGTACTTAATGTATTCTTATGTATTTAATTACGTTTAGTTATTAACTAGTCCTTTAATATAAGCTTGGCTTAGCTTTTTACATTATAATAAAATAAATTAGGCAAAGTAGGTATTTACCTTCCTGTTTTATTTATTTTACAATAATTTACACTTTTTGACTAGTGTGAGGTAGATTTGAAAGTGCTTTATGAAGGTATTTATACAAAATGATAATTCAAAGTGGAAAAAGTCTAATTGGATCATCAAATTATTTATTTTGAAGGTAACTGTTTTCCATTGTCATTTTTTTTAATAATCCCTAGGTAGATAGTCAATAATCAAAGACCACAAAAACAATACTTGTGAAATTGTTATGAAAACAACGCAACCCGAACGATTTCACGGTCAAGACTGCCAGTAAAAAAATAAACAAAACCCAGCCAACACAAAGGCTTGCTCGTGACACTTCGCGAAAAAAATCAATGTAGACCTTCGATGACCTGGGTATTATGTGCCATAACTGCATCCTACCCCAGCGTCCAGCTCATGATACCCAACGAAAACACCATTGCGTAAGCAACAGCCCATAGAAATACAACGCAAATGCCTGACGTACGAAATAAACATACGTGATGCCTTACCTAGAACGAACTCCCAAGCATCACAGCCCAGGGAACGCTCAGGGACGATTTCCAAATCCAACATCGTGCACAAAACACTTAATACACACTAAACTAACTAACTTTCACTTAAAAAATACAGTTTTTTCGTGTTAAAACGCGATATTACGCTGCCTTTCTTTGTTTGCCAACTTTAGTTTTCAACCATTTTGTATTTGTCAGAGCTGTCATTACAAACAGCTGATTGTATTCTGGCAGGGCCGCATTTAGGACTTGAGTTTCGTTACTGAAATGAACAATCTGCAAATGCGCGCTTAAATAGCTAGCTATGAACATTGATAATAAATAAATTCTTATTCACTGATTGGTTAAGAACGATAAGCAACTCTTGCTCAAAAATAATTTGAAAGAAAAAAAGAAAGAAATAATGAAACTACTTAATTCCTCAGTTCCTATTTTCGTTAATTTTTAAATTAGAAAGAAAAAATCTTTATTCACGACACGATCATCGATAGGTATTACACCTAAAGTTTTCTTAGTAGGTACATAGATAGAAACTGAGCAAACCCAAACGTAACTTCCTAGTTTATTATTAGATAAATCACTGGGCGAAATTTTCTTAGAATAAGAATGTGAAGAAAGTAGACCATAAAACAATCTAAGTAAAATATTTAAGGTCTAGGTTTCACTCTGTACCTAACTGTAATTCACTGAATTACACAAACTCAGGCTGAACCTTTACAATAAGTTAAAAAATGTTAGGTATGTACTTTTCATAAATCGTTAAACACTTTATTTACGTACGCGGCGTAGTAAGTATTCCATAAGAGATATAAAAAAAATGAAATTCTAGAGTTCTTCCCTGGTTGAACTTAATGACGCATGCGTACCAACCGTGAAGGAAAATATTGTGTTGTAGAAACTGTTTTGCCGCTGTCTCTGTCTTACTCGTTATGAAACGTATCCGCCTTCTCTACCTTATCGACACTAGATTCGTTGTCTCTGTTTATAGCGTTGGTAATGCAGCTGTACATCTCTTTCTTCAAGACTTGTTTATTGATAAACTTGAGCGATAATTTTGCGCACTTATTAAAACGGATATACATTTCTCGCCGAGTAGAGAATCCTCATAATGAGAATCTACAAAATTTTAGATGGATCAGTCTTTTAGAATTTAGCAGATTGTTAGCAGGGTTCATCATCATACTATTTATTTTGTCCCTGAATAAGCTCTCGACAGACTGCAAGTCTAGCTAAATTAACGTTCTAGAACTGTTTTATTATTAACTAGTATGAGTATGGAATTATTTCATTGTTTCTATGTGGTTGCTGGCGGATACACAACTTTCGCTGTGTTTCCCGCCATCGTAGCAACCTTGAAATGGGATTCGACGCCCACACATCGCATATCGTAACTAACGTAATATTGTGTAAGAATGTTTATTTACACTATACGATTTGCGTATTATTATAGTTCGCGGAATTTTAAAAACAACTTTTATTGTATTATTGACGCAATTGGTACCTATGTTGCGTAGTAAACATTGTTGTTTTTTTATCTAGACATCACGCCACTCGGGCTGCGATAGCATGAGTCAGTCGCCGAGATAGACTCGTCGTAAAGGGCAGCAGACTGAGCTGTTGACCTATCTACGTATCTTTAGCGCGTCTGCTAAGCTTATTGCCAACGCCATAACAAAGCTATGTGCAGGAAAACATTTAAAACTAAGGAAAAAATAGGGGATAAAATACAACAAATACTCAACAAACACTTTTATTTAACAACATATTAACCTATCTATCTTTTTTCTTATGTTTAGACTTTTTATGCTTCACCTTTTGTTTCTTCTTTTTCTTTTTATGCTTAACCTTTTTAGATTTAATTTCTTTAGCATCCACCCAAGAGTCTGCACTGGACGAAGAGTCAATTACGTGAATTTCACCTTCTTTTTCAGTCTTTTTTCTAAATATTGGTCTAAAGTTGTCTTCTGCGTTCTGAACCACTTCTCCGTTTAGTCTTTTCAATAAATTTTCTGGAATCTTCGGCCCGTAAACGTCGCCAGAACTATCTTCTGCCTTTTCTTTGGGTGTTTCTTCTTTTGAACTATCTTTATTTACATTTTCCGGTTTATCGGTTTTTGTATTTCTTCTCCACGAGTTCAATTCGTCGAAATCTATATTCGCAAATATGCCTCTTGGCGGCGATAAATTTCTTTCCACATTCTTCGGTCTGTCTATGAAGTCTTCTGCATTAATTTCGACAGGTATCTCATTCATATCTTCTTCATTTTCGCTATCGCTTAAGAATATCGATTTATACAGGTCCATTTTATCGAATTTCTCTATTGTTTCTGTTACAGCTGTTGGCTTATTGGTTTCTATAGCTTTCTCTGATTCTTTTAAGAATAACTCTGCTACTGTTATTCTTTTGTTTATGGTTTCTTCACTAGTAGATGGTGCAGGGTTATTTATTTTGATGTTATCTGTTTTGCTTTGACTGGGTAAAGGTTTTGGTGTGTTGAGAAGAGATTTAGAACCGCTGAATTTAGTTTGTTCCTTTGTGAAGCTGTCCTTGTCGTGTACAGATGATTCCAGGTAGGAGAATACAGAGTATGAAATCTTCGGCTTGTCCTCTGTTTTTGACTCGGGTCTGTGAACAAACATAGACATTAGAATCAAGATTTTCAATTCCTACATTTCGAACGCCTTTATTCTTCTGATATAATTTGTAGCGGGTTCCAAGATTAAGCTATCCCCGGGAATACCCAACCTTTATTGGTTATGTTCAGTTTTCTTTTCATTGGAGGCCAAATTTTACATCCTGGTAATAAAAGAGGGTTGCAGGAGTGGTATAAAAGAACTGACCCGACGACCTTCCTGTCGCTAATAAAAATTCTAAAGCTCATCATAAAGGATCATCAGGGCTAATCAACTCGGAAAGGGATCAACATCGTATCGCCTTTCGCTGCAAGGTGAGACGTTTACGTTATGATGCGGATAAGTGTGCACTGCAATACGGAGTTTCAATACAAATAACTACTGACAGCCTCGTGTTGATACGGTAACGATCGGTTTCCGGGTTGATAAGTGTGCTTCGTCCTTAATGGTGAAAGAATTTTTCCAATCGATTCATTAGTTTCAAAGTCTATTCAATACAATAATTCTGTGGAGAAAAAAGGCAATAAAGACTTTTTCAATAATTTACCTTGGTCTCCTGGGTCTGGTAAGTTAAACCGCTTGCTCTGCTGTGGCTAGCTCGTAGTTGGCTGAACTCTTGGGGCTCCTAAAAGCGCTTTTTCAAAAGCCTATTTGAAGGAAATAAATGACTAGAACTTACCTCGATCCCCCCGGGTCCTGTATGTTAAACCGCTTGCTCTGCTGTGGCTAGCCCGTAGTTTAATGAACTCTTGGGGCATGTAAAAACGCTTTTCAAAAGCCTATTTAACTCACCTCGGTCCCCCCGGGTCCGGTATGTTAAACCGCTTGCACACTAGCGGGTCAGGCCGCCACTGCGCGTGCGTCCTGGTCACCGCGCCGTATAGCGCGCGCCGCGCCGCGTCTATCTGCTCGGCTGTGGCCAGCCCGTAGTTGGCTGAGCTCTTGGGGCATTAAAAAGCGCTTTTTAAAAGCCTATTTTAAAGATAATAAATGACTTTAACTTACCTCGGTCCCCCCGGGTCTGGTATATTAAAACGCTTGCACACCGCTTGCTCTGCTGTGGCTAGCCCGTAGTTGGCTTAACTCCTGAGGCATTAAAAAGAGCTTTTTAAAAGCCTATTTTGAAGATAATAAATGACTTTAACATACCTCGGTCCCCCCGGGTCCGGTATGTTAAACCGCTTGCACACTAGCTTGCTCTGCTGTGGCTAGCCCGTAGTTTGCTGAACTCTTGGGGCGTCTAAAAGCGCTTCTGAACTCTTGGGGCATTAGAAGCGCTTTTTAAACGCCCATTTGCGGAAAAACCTTTTCAATAACTTACCTCGGTCCCCCCGGGTCTGGTATGTTAAACCGCTTGCACACCGCTTGCTCTGCTGTGGCTAGCCCGTAGTTGGCTTAACTCTTGAGGCATTAAAAAGAGCTTTTTAAAAGCCTATTTTGAAGATAATAAATGACTTTAACATACCTCGGTCCCCCCGGGTCCGGTATGTTAAACCGCTTGCACACTAGCTTGCTCTGCTGTGGCTAGCCCGTAGTTTGCTGAACTCTTGGGGCGTCTAAAAGCGCTTCTGAACTCTTGGGGCATTAGAAGCGCTTTTTAAACGCCCATTTGCGGAAAAACCTTTTCAATAACTTACCTCGGTCCCCCCGGGTCTGGTATGTTAAACCGCTTGCACACCGCTTGCTCTGCTGTGGCTAGCCCGTAGTTGGCTTAACTCTTGAGGCATTAAAAAGCGCTTTTTAAAAGCCTATTTGAAGAAAATAAGTGACTAAAGCCCGGTCTGTGGGCTCACACACTCACTGCGGGCGCCCGTCGCACAGTCGCGACAGCAATATAATTACGCGCGAGCGATAAGGATGGGTAGCTTGGGGTCATTGGACAAAATTCTACGTGCTCACGGACCAGACTATAACTTACCTCGGTCCTCCCGGGTCCGGTATGTTAAACCGCTTGCACACCGCTTGCTCTGCTGTGGCTAGCCCATAATTGGCAGAATTTTTTGGGCGTGTAAAAGCGCCTTTTAAAAGCCTATTTATACGAAATAAATGACTTTAACTTACCTCGGTCTTGGGGCTCTTAGGGCATGTAAGAGCGCTTTTTAAAAGCCTATTTAACTCACCTCGGTCCCCCCGGGTCCGGTATGTTAAACCGCTTGCACACTAGCGGGTCAGGCCGCCACTGCGCTTGCGTCCTGGTCACCGCGCCGTATAGCGCGCGCCGCGCCGCGTCTATCTGCTCGGCTGTGGCCAGCCCGTAGTTGGCTGAGCTCTTTGATACGGCGGTTAAAGGGTTAATGTCGTCTGGCTCTGAGGCGTGGGTGAATCTAAGAAAGAAAATCATCTTTTATTATCATCAGCCGGGCTATTAGAACGGTAATAAACGGTTATCGCGGCGCCCATTCTAGGCTTATAGGTAACTAGCTTTCCGCCCGCGGCTTCGCCCGCTTGGAATTTTGTCTGTCACAGAAAAACTTTATCGCGCGCGTCCCTGTTTCAAAAACCGGGATAAAAACTATCCTATGTTCTTTCCCGGGACTCAAACTATCTCTATGCCAAATTTCATCAAAATCGGTTGCGAGGTTTAGGCGGGAAAGCGTAACAGACAGACAGACAGAGTTACTTTCGCATTTATAATATTAGTTGGGATTTAGACCGCAATGCAGGTGGGTGAACCTCTTTAATTTGACAGAGGCAGCTCAAATCTTCCTCTTTCATTGCTAACTTTAATAATAAGCTTGCAAGTGTAACTACAGGTTGTACCATCTTATTTTTACTAAAACATCGGTTATAGTTATAGTTACGGTTAAAGTTAAGTTGACAGAAACTCATACTAATACGATGTTGAAATTTCGACAGCACCATATAATCAAAAACGCATCTTTTTTATAATTCGATGCGTTATTGCAACAGAAATGTATAAAAAAATCAATGTTAAGTCTGTCTCGCTCTCGGAAGCATTCCAGACAAAGGAGGGAAAGAGACCGACAGAACAACAAATTGGAAAACTTGTAAGAGATGACATCTCAATCACATACCTGTCTCCCATAATGCCCGTCAGCGGTTTATACAACTTCGCCGCTTGCTCAAACTCCACCAACTCTCTATTCCTTTCCCACTCGCTCACCGCGTCTATATCGCCGTCTCTTTCTGCCGCGAAGGCCTCCTTATCTTGCAAATATCTCTCATATCTCCCTTGCTTATTCGGGTCGCTCATGAAAGGTCTGAAAACCTTCGCTACACTTTTGCCCGTATCTGCAATAGGTATGAAGTCTAGTTCCTTAGGTGCTTCGGTGGTTGAGATAAAGTTGACATTGCGACCGGCGATTTTGGCGATCAGTTCCTCTGAAGACTGAGCTGGTTGGAGGGTAGGTAGGTAGGGTAGTTCTTGAAGTTTCGGCACGGGGGCTTCGCCTAGCATGGCGCCTCTGGCCTCTGCTGATAGCTCGTGGCGACCTAGTCCTGAAAAGAAAAAAATCTATATCTATTAAAGCGAAAGGTCACTGATTGACTGACTCACTCTCACTAAATCTCAGAAACTAAAATTTTGCATGGGTGTTTCTTTTGGAACGTAGGTCACTAAGACGGGATTTTGCAAAATTCAACCCCTAAGGGGATAAAACGAAATCCACGCGGCGCGGGCGGCTGCTAGTATCGAATAAAAATTAAATTTCTTCTGATTGACGGTGTTGCTATCCGGTACCTGATAGTCATAAAGGTAGCAGGGAGGTATTGGATGCAGACAATTACCAACCGGTTATTATAGAAATAATTGAGGAGGCCTATATTTAACAGTGGATGTCATTTAACTGAAACGAACGAACGAGGTAAGGCTTTTGTCTCCTAAAACGTCTTAGGCCGCATCACACACAATGTTTACTACAGAAATGTACTGTTGTGGTATTTTTCAGACGATGTCGGCATATGGACGTTAATACGAACGTTTGACGCTGACGTTTAATAGGAGACTATAGCCTAATAGAATCCGCCACATTTGTGGTACGTACCTTGGTCTCTTTGTTTGACAGCGGGGCCAGGCTGGTCGAAGCGGGTCTTTAGCGGGGCCGGGGCATAGCCGCGGGGCAGCGCCGGGGCAGGATACGATGCTACGGCTGGCAACGGCTTAACGGCTTTCACGAATCCTTCTAACACCTGTAATACGAACATTACAGATACAGTAACAGTTCTTGTAACGCCCGTTTTTCGCCAAAGCCGAGAGGAGAGGAAATGTGTTAAAATACCATCTCATTTACTGTAATGTTAAATTAATAATAATTTAATGTTGAAGCTGTTAAATAAACTTTGATTTATTTATTTCGTTATCTCCACATCACCTCTCCTCTCAGAATCGTTTGGAAATCTAAATAATTATTCAAACACATCTCTCCTCTTAGCTTTGGTGGAAACCGGACCTTAGATAATGTTCTACTTTTCCTATTGTCTCAATTTATTGTGGACAGTGAATGGGTTAAGCTAAGGCCCAGTTTTTTGATTCTCAGTTAAAATAACTAATTGTCAAATTTTGCTACTAATGGTTAAATATTAACAAAATGTAAACAAATAGTTAAAAAATGTACTAAAAGTCAAGCTAACCATTGTTCGAAAAACATTTTTTTCTGATATTTAACCACTTGTCATTTGACATCTGTCAAATTTAACCATTGGTTATTTTAACTACGAATCAAAAAACCGGGCCTAAGTGGCGACGAGATGAGAATAACAATTGGTTAAATAACACATCTCTGCTCCTATCGTCGCCGCTTTGGTGAAGTCCGCGCCTCCCCTTTTGAAAGAAAGAACGAAACGAACTTTACTTTTTTATTTAAAAAAAGAAACATGCTTTTCGACCTTATGATAAGTGAATAAAGTTCAAATTATAGTGGAAATATACTTACGTTAGCGCCTCCTTGCTTCACAGCCTTCTTCTTGTCCTCAGCGCCCCCTAGCGTAAAGTCGTAGTGCGACATATCTTCTGTCGCGTAAATGTCTTCGTCGTCCGCCTCGAATGCGCCCACGCCGAATGCTTGCCCTCGGATGGAGACCTAAATGTAAAATAGTCTTTAAATAAAGACTACTCTCATAGATTCATTAAACATGATAAATAAAGAAATAGATCCACGAGTCCACGTCTTGAAATTCGTATTGTGGTTTGTGGTAGTTAGAGAAATCGGCCATCACGCGTTGTGGCACTTTGTGGCAAAGAAAAGCTAAGATGCGTTCTAAGCAATAGATGGTGAAACATTTTTTTGTATGTTCACCTACAACGTGCCGTCTCTTTCATGGCGCGAGTGAGTAAACGAGTGCCACCGTATTTTATGTTCAAACGTTGGTGCTACTATCGAGTAAAGACAGTGGCGCCAACTAATTAGCGAAAATAAGGTAGTCCTCATTGGCAACCTGTTAACCATATAAATGTTTCTTTCTTTCAACCCATAGCCAGGGTTCGTACCCTATGGGTGTCACTCCACACATAGTAACACAGCAAAGTATACAATCAAAATCTAAAAATTACCTTTTTCCCTTTCTCCTTCATAACCAAATGGCTTCTAGACGTGCCAGCATCAGAACCATACTCCCCCACCAAATTTCCAAGCACTGAGTGTCGGCTAAGACCCGAGTAGCCCAGGCCAAAGCGATCGTTCTTACGCTGCAGGACATAAGGCTCGTAGTCGTCTGGCGCGAATAGCGTGTCGTACTCGAACTCTGAGTTGGTGCTGTCTTCAGACTCGTCTGCTGTGCCCTGGAATTAGAGTTGAAAATTGCACATTTTTCGGTAAAAAAGAGGTTGTATTCAGACTGTAATATACCTACAAAGTTACAAACAATAACCAAAAAAGATACATTGGCAGGAGACTTGATACTTGACTGACACTACCAATAAAATGCATTTTATGAACGTTATGATACGTTAAAACATAATTAGGGAATCATTTCTAGTCCTATCTTAATTCGTGTATGGGAATGACAAAATTTTAGCTGACATGATTAATTAAAAAACACTGGTAAGGAGGACAGATGACACGCATATACGCAGTTGTATCGTATCTCAAGCAAGGATTGCTATCGTCTATTAGTCTCTGACGCACACGTCCGAATCTCCCTACAACTGAAAGGGACAGATGACACTCACCTCATCATTATGCTGTCTCATCTCCGGCGGCATGTAGCAGCCGTACACTTTGTATTGTTTCTTGGCCTTTTTCTTCTCTGATCTAGTGAGACAGTCGTCTGTGCCTTGCCCCGGTCTTTTATCAGCATATCGATAGACTAAGAGTGACAGGCGATGACTCTTTTTAACACAAACCTGGTCCTTTTTCAGGGCAGATTTGTCTCTGTCGCACACGTCTGCATCTCCCTACGACTGACAGGGACAGATGAACATCACTTGTATAAACTCACCTCATTTTCCTGTCTCATCTCAGGCGGCATGTAGCAGCCGAATACTTTGTGTTGTTTCTTGGCTTTCTTCTTCTCAGCTTTAGTCAGACGATCACCCGTACCCTGGCCCGCTCTAACATCTGTTTGTTTCTGTCGGACACGTCAGCATCTCCCTACGACTGACAGGAACAGATGACACTCACCTCGTTCTCTTTTCTCATCTCCGGCGGCATATAACAGCCATACACTTTGTGCTGTTTCTTGGCTTTCTTCTTCTCTGCTTTAGTGAGGCGATCGCCCGTACCCTGCCCCGGCCGCCAGCCCATAGCGCGAAGCATCTTGACTGCCGCCGTCTCGTGGACTGCTTTGAGGAGCTGTTCTAATACCGGTTCACCTGAGGTAGTGGTAAAGGTGGGTTAATTGATAGATTTGTTGAGGTGTTTCTAGTAGAGTAACTATGGAAACGAAATACAATTTACTGTGACTTAGGGTGGATTCGACCAAAGAAGAGTAAATATTAATCTCAGAATAAATCATCAGTTTTGACATATTTCCCATAATGAAACTGTCAATGCCAGGAGTTATTCTCGGATAAAAGTTTGGTCGAATTGGGCCTTAACATTTCATTAACTAAAAACAGGCAGTTCAGGTTCGACGTTTATGCTGGTAATGGTGTAAGTTAAAAAGCTATCAGATTCGTTGAGGAGAGTGCATTGGTGGACGAGGTCTTGGTCATCTTTTGGCTGAAGAAAATCATTAAAGTTAGATAGTAAGGACACAATATAGTACTATTCACATATGTACTTCTATCTCTTTCCAACCACTGCAACTTCTGTTCAGCCAGAATCAGGCCCATGTGTCGACGTCATGCCGTGCTCGCTGCGGTTTTAGTCCATGAAGTCTTCTGGACTCTAGAGACACAAGTGATCCTCACCAGGCATGGGTCCGTCGTGGAACCGTCTCAGCCGCCGCTTCTGGCCGGAGAACTGACGCGGCGCGATGCCGTGCTCGCGGCGGTCTTAGTCCATGAAGTCTTCTGGACTCTAGAGCAGGGTTTCACAATTTTTTTTTGCCAAGGAACCCTAATTGATTATACTTTTCCTAGCGGAACCCCCGTACCACTCCGCCCGCACGCCCTGCCCCTCCCTTGTGCGTAAACAAGTCGGTGCGAGCGAACGTCGGTCACGAAACGTGGGATAATATTTTTTACGGAACCCTTGCGGCCTTTCCACGGAACCCCAGGGTTCCGCGGACCACCATTCGGGAACCGCTGCTCTAGAGACACAAGTGATCCTCACCAGGTATGGGACCGTCGTGGAACCGTCTCAGCCGCCGCTTCTGGCCGGAGAACTCGCTCTGCGTGCCCATGTGACGCGGCGCAATGCCGTGCTCGCCGCGGTCTTCGTCATCCATGAAGTCTTCTGGACGCTGCGCCTGATGGAGTATTTATTTGTTTGAGAGATGAAAATATTACAGATGAAAGTGACAAGCAAAGTATATGTATAAAACAAAAATCTTGGGACAAATGGAAGGAACAGCTTATGACCGCAGTCTGTAAAGGAACACTATCTGTGGTCGCGTTACTCATCAGTGAGGGACCGATGAAGAAGAAGAATTTGAACCATTGAGCTAGATCTTGATTAAGTTTTCTAAAATAAACTTAACCTTATATGCATCTTCATCTGACCATTTTATTTGGCTATAGACTACAAACAACTACTCAAATTTTGCTTTAACTCACAGAAATCTGCGCCTTATCCGCACGAGAGCTCTTAAAAGTGGAAGGCGTCCATCCCTCCGGTGTCCCCACAGTGTTCCCGTGTCCGGCTGAGAACCCTCCGGTAAAAGCACCGTGGAACCTCCGTCTGCCGTACGCGTCCACAGCATACTGGTCTGCTGGCTGCTGGTACTTGCGTTTTGATGGAATTTCATCTGTAAATAATGTTGTTATTACATGAATTCTTAAAAACATTAATGTGAAATTTTTGGTTGTATAAACATTTATGTTTTGAATGATTTACTGACATGGCATCCAAAGAGCATCGAATATCCTTTGTTTTTGAATAAAATTAAACGTATAAAACTACTTGTTTAGTTTAAAAACATCTTGAAAATACGTAGTTGAGACCAATGTTGAAACTCGAAAACTGACCTTCTTCTATGGGGTCCAGGGGAGTGCCGTAGCGTATAATTGCTTCTTCGTCACTGTCCGCGTCGCTCATTTTAGCAGGCACTTGCTTGTCTAATTGAATATACACACAACATGAAAAATAATAGCAATAAATTGGCAAACAATAAACATAACCTCAAAATAACGATTTTGACATTAATGACAGTAGACCACAGACTAGACACCATTTTTTTTTTATTTAGGCTTTACTACGGCTTTAGGTTCAAGTTTTTGGCGCACAGCCGCCAAAGGGGATTTTTTGTGCGATTTCGGTAGAAGTTTATTATAAAGTTCACTCTTTTGCCTTTTATTCATATACTATGAAATTAAAGTTGTACACTTCTACACAGGTGTAAGTAAATGAAACTTTGAGTAAGTCTAAAATTTTTAATTCTAATAACATGGCCACAAAAATTCGTGAACAGAATTTATTCAAAATCACAACCTTTCCAATATAAATGAATCACATAATTAAATAACTTATAATACGTGAAATAATAATATCGCAAAAAAAATTAAAAAATACCTATTGCAGAATAACGAATCTGTAAAGATGATGAATCTGGCTCTACAGAGCGTTAAAATCTTGCTTCACCATATGACTAAATGCAAAATTGAAGTTTTAAAGCCCACAGAAATAATCATGGTGGACGAAAACTTAGATTAAAATCTTGTTATGATTTAAACAAGACATCACAATGCTGAGATTCCAAAATAATTTTTTTTGTCTTATCATCTAACAGTGCCAAAACCAACTATGTTTTCATCTATCAACATATCTGACATAACATGCTGCAGTTTTGTTACGGTACGGAAACGGTCGTCACCGTTCAAGCATTCACTCAGCAGTCGGTCTAAATGTGGCCTTGAAGCATTAACGTCTTTCGGTATAGGGTACAACAATGGATTTTCATCCCCTGCTAATACGTAACATGCTGCCCAAATATTGTGGTCACTCAAATGGTGTTTGCACATATTTTCAATTGAAAATGTGAATCCTGGTCCAGTGATTTCTCTGATGTAACGTTGGTACCAGTCTGGTAGGTCTTTCTTGGGAGATATGTGTTTGTCCAGCACAATGACATCTTCCAGATCCACAAATGTGATTTCGTCCCTTTCATTTGCCACAATATTGTCTAAAGACCAGTCCATGAAGTAAAAGCGGAATCTAAAACAATAATAGCATTTACATAATAATGTAAAATTACCAAACAACAATCAAATACTATTTACTTCGTACAAACCTATCATGTTTAAACGTAAAATCCATTGCTGCATCCAAAATGGCTCGAGCATATTTGAGTTTACGGTGCCACTGCACGTGCAGTAGTGATGACAGTGGCTCTCCTTCATATGCTACAATTTCCAGACGACCACAAACTCCTCCATATGCTGGCACACGCCAGCCCTTTGACTTGGGTATCACCTGAAAATAAATCATGTATGACTGATTAGTAGAAAAAAACTATGCTATGATGCTAATAGAAGACAAAAATACTTTATTGCTCCATGTTAAAAAATAAAGAGGATATTGTGTTCAGGTATTACCTGTAAAATTATAGGCTCTGGATTGATGCTCAGCATTGTCCACACATTCAACATGTCCGACTTATAGTTGTTATTATTCGATTTCTGGTTGTTCAGCACTGGCTGGATGAAGTCATAGAAGCTGTAAGTGTAGGGACAGAGCACCAGACCCTTCCTTGGCTCAGAATCTGGCCAACTGATGTTGTAACTGATGATGCTTATCATTTTCTCATCAATATTCGATACATTGAGCAAATTTATTGGTTTGCAGTCGCGTTTTAGGTGCCAAATCTTACACAACTTCGAATCTAACTCTTTGAGTTCCCAATCGTGAGCTAATTTCTTCATAACCACTCGTCTGTTAGATTTTGTGTAGCCATAATAAATATTTTTTGCATTGAACATACTGTGCCAGTGATGATTAGATTCCATTATAATTTGATTAGAATACAGCTCAGGGCATACAGTCACTCCAAAGCAAGCAGGGCAGCGGTCTAAATCAGTTAAATTCATCACTCTAGGGCTTTTTAAATCACCAAATAACAAAACAGAAACGTAAAATGATAGGCCGAATGCGACAGCCATTAAAATAACGCGTTTACAAAATCTGCGGCGAAGCAACATTGTGTGATAAACTTTATCTACTTTACTAGGCATTTTTATAGGTTATTGAACGATTTATTAGAATTTAATCCTTTTGGTTGAAGAAAAACGAAATCCATTGTAAAGTTTGGTCGATTGATCAATGTTTACGGAAGAAGTGACGTTTTGTTGTTCGACATTGTTGACAGCTAGTCAGCCAAGCTATAAAAAAAGACGTGTTCTTGTTTTTTACCCTAAAATAATTCAATAAACCGTGGTTTTTTATATTTTGTTGGACCGCAACACAGCTTTTGACATTAGGCTGGACTGACTGACAGAAGTGACAGACAGCCAGCCAGCTGTCACATTGTTGATGATCAATGTTTTGCATTTTTTGTATTTTTGTTGTAATTTGCTGACAAATCATAAATTAATTTAATGTAAACTTAGCGTAACTTGATCTCGTTACAGTATTTCAAAATAGTTTAGTTGCATACATTGGTAGAAAGTGGATATAAGTGAATCGTGATCAGCTGTTTTAAAACATTTAAACAATGGGTTTTTTAACGCACTATGTGGATAATTACACCGCAAGTCTCTACGACATGATAGGTAAGTTGTTAGTTTTCCTATTATTAGCGTCTGCGTTAGCCATAACCGTTTTTTTCTACAATAATTACATGTAACCTCTTGTACCAGGTTGTAGCTATAATAACTGTTAATACTGTCAATGCTTACAATTTTAATGTATTAAAATGGGTAATTTTGATTGTTTTTAATGCAATACATTTACATTCTTTAAATATTCTTGTTAATGTAAAATAAATAATAATTTACAGCATGTTTCATCATTTTTTTGATGACATGCTTGTGTTGTAGTAATAACTAGCAAAACTGGTTATTTTTGAATTAAAAAGAAGACAAAAATCTGTTATTGTGCATATTCAGATGTCTTTTTGTAATCAAGTATGAGTTAGAAGCATGTTTAGTTACATTATGTTGAGTCACTATGATTATTAATTTTATGAAGTAGGTCACAATCATTTTAGTACTTGTACCACCAAAGATTGAATTTAGACTGCACAACTAGTTCAAGGCTGCCTAGATCTTGATATGATGATGACACACCTAGTTACAAATTTCTGTTTTAGTTCTTGAATCTTAGTTTAATTCATAATCATAACTTTTGCTTAACTTTCACTAGCCTATAACTATATCATTTCATATCTATGGAAGCAAATCAATTTCTTTTTACAGTAAACATTGTTATTAACAAAACTATGGAGTCCAGTCTGATAATATTTTTCTTCATTCTTTATATTTTATCTCAATATCCTGCTAAATAATTTAATCAATATGATATTAATATAAATGAAGTAAATAATATAATCATATTCATTTGGTTTTATATTAAACAACATTACTGTGCTATTGCTCATACAGAATAATAAGTATATAATAAAAATCTACCATTTTATCTTAATGGTTGTAACTAAAAGATCTGTATTTTAACCCTAACAGATGCAACAATAATAATTATTATTAGTTTTGGATCTCAAAACAAGGTAATATGTATAAAAGCTCATAATTTGACAATTATTATTATTGTTGTTAACTAAATTAACCTCTGCCTTACAAACAGTTTAGTTAAAAATACATACTTCACTTCTATTGAACTTAAACAATTATGCGTTTTAATTTGCATGATACATTATTTTTCTAAAAGATTGTGCAGAATTTCATTGATTGCTCACAATTTTATCTATATCTATAAAAGCGAAAGGTCACTGACTGACTCACTCATTACAGAAACTCAGAAACTACAAGTGCTAGGAGACAATTTTGCATGGGGGTTCCTTTTAGAACGCAAGTGCTCACTGAGACGGGATTTTCCAAAATTCAATCCCTAAGGGGGTAAAACGGGGTCCACGCGTACGAAGTCGCGGGCGGCCGCTAGTATCTTACTAATTGCAAGTCAGACTGATGCAATATTTTACTCAGATTGACATATAATTGTTAAAAATTTGATCTTGTGTTCTGCTCTCTTTCTAATCTATAAATTCTATAATATAAGAACTATTAGACTCGTCATTCAGAACAGGGTCAATTGATGTACTACATTAATTTTAGGTCAAATGATAGACAAGAATGGCTAGATAATTTTTTGTTAATTGCTGACTTTAATATCTTTTAATTTCCGAATTAAATACTCAATTTTTTTGTAGGTATATTTCTAGTTATAATGACTACTAATGAGCAGTTGGTAGACTGAATGCATTGTTATTATTTAATAATACACATTTTTATTAATCTACTCCTATAGTATGTTCAGAGTTATTTAATTTAAAATAAATATTTTAAAAATAGTTTTTCCAGTTGCCAGTTGATCCCTAAATAAAACTGTTCCTTTATTAGGTACAACATAGATTATTATTAACCCTTATTTTAACGATATTATTTTAAAAAGGTCATTAATTACAATAGTGTACGATGAATTATTATTCTGATCTGTTAACTTATAAACTTAATAATGCTAAGTTTCATCAAAATACATTCACTACCTTTTTCGTAAAAATATTATCAGTTTTAATACTCATAAAGTGTACCTACTGATTTATAATTACATTTAATATCGTTCCCGATAGTAGGTTTTTGACGATTGAAATCTACACAGAGACGTAAACAAAGACTTAATTAATTATTGTCAACAGATAGTTAATAAAAATGACTTTGCTCTTAACAGTAAATTCAGTTTGGGAAATCTCGAATATCTACATTCTACATGCTTTAGTTAGTAACAATATCTATCCATTTAGGATCTTCCCATAGGCCATTTTTAACGTCGGTAAGTGCTTTGCGCATACCCAACCCACTGATCAATGGGGACGACCAGTGGGATAAGTGGGACTTTCCCCTGCCCACATGGGTCCTTTCCCTTCCATGATCTGAGGGTCCTACCTACATAAACCCGACACGGTGTCCATCGGAGCCCAATGGAACGGAGTCGACGCTGCGACGTTTTCCATATATTTTTAATGACGTGACGCAGCGCAACGGACTAATGAGGCCTCACCCTAACTTGGACATTCATTCGCAGCTCGGTCTTCATGGTCGCGGGAGTCTAAGGTTACGGCCGGATACTCGCGACACCCCCACTCGGGCGATGACGGAACGCCGCGGAGGTTTTAGTCCCCCCTCTTTCCTCCATCGTCCTTTTCAGGACGGAGCAGCGCCCTTTTTAGGGAGCCGGGAGTTCCACACACCACCCTGCCCCCCGGCAGTGGTGACGGTGCGTAAAGTATTTCCTCCGCGACGAAAAAAAAGATCCGTCTTCATCACAAATAAGCCAACTTCAATGGTTTTTTTTAGAATTTCGCGCTCTTTAATTCGGAACTGGTTCGGAACTCATAAAAGTCGCCTGAATCTTATTAAAAGGATTAATATGCAAGCCATCAGACCAGAAAAACTCCGGTGGGTCCTGCTGAAGGAGCTGCCTTATAATCATCATAAAAGTTAACGTTTCAACGTTGCGGTTTAAAAGTCAAGGTCGCTCGTCAGTTAGCTACAAGAATGCATGGACGGTAGGCTCAGACTTAATTACATTAGTATAATAAGCTCGATCAAGTTCCAGTCGGTGTTCTGTCCTGATACTTGAATCCCGTCGAGCGTTAAACTAGTCTAGTGTAGCCGGAGCTACTAAGCCCACTAGGGCTAGCGAGAATATTGGTAGTCAGATGCGGGACTTCGTAATGTTTTGACATAAAAAACCTATCGCATTGGCTCATCCAGTGTCTAACTAGCTCAGATGGTAGATCAGTCGCCCGGCAAGCGAAAGGTCGTAGGCGATTTGGTTTTGTATGATTATAAACCACAACCAGCCGGGCTAGGATTAGGATACACGCCGTGATATACTTTATCGACGTCAAAATGTATGGGTAAAATCGATAAAATGGCGTGATAACTGCTTATCGCGGCACGTATCCTTAACCCACAGGCTAAATCTAAGGTAGGTTTACGACAGTTACTGTGGAGAAAGTTCTCGTAACCATTACAAACTTACCGTTTCCATTTCCATTGTGCTAGTAACGTTACGCTGGGAAGGCAGGTGTACGTACCTCAGCTCGTATAGAAAACACGCGATCGGGGTAAAAAACTAGTTGCGGGATGAGCACTGAGCAGGTGTCGCCAAGTGGGGTTACGTATGAATACCGAGAAACCTAGATTCGCGTGCAGATATTAAATTGCAATAAACATGTGCAGGTTAAAGTTTCATAGTGTTATTTTTTAACTATCCTTTAGATATGAAAGGGTCTATAAAATTTAGTTGCCGCCCATGTCCTAAAGAAATAGAGATGCCTTCATCTCCATTTCATGCAGGCATCTCCATTTCTTACGAATAAAAGTATTTATAAAATCATTCAATATTTTCGGGTTTTCGGTGTTCCTCATGTTGGAACTTTGCTTTTTAAGTGAGAGGAATGAATGAAACTGCTAAAAAGAATTGCTGAAAAAGAACTGCTGAAAAAGCTGAAAAAGTGTAGTATCACTGAGTATCACCCCAACATATCGATATTTCAGTTTTTTTATTAGCTCAATTAAACTCATTGTGATATTTGTGATGCGATACCACTGCCCAATAATGTTTTCAAATTCTTGAAACTATAAGAAGGGTTCCGTCAGATCTCTTAAAAACCCTAGCTTGTCGCATTTGCCCGCTATCCGCACCAGTTCTTTAAAGGTTAATGGCCAGCCTAATTATTACCTACCCTTAGCATCATCCACGGTCATCATCTCATCCAACTAACTGTAGCTATTTTTATGAAACTCGTCACTAGACAGGCATATATCAGCAGGTTCAACGAGCATAACTTTAAATACAAAAAGAAAAGATAAAAAAGATGTTATTGTTTTTCGCACCAATAAAGCTGAAAGTATTAATCTTGTAAAGAGCTTTTATGTGTAGAATTTTGGATACCTAATACCTAAACATTGTAGTCCAGGCTATTAGTCCAGTCGATCGTGGCAAGGCAAAAAATGAAAAAATACTACATGATGGTGTATTATCCTGCTTTCGCCTCCGAGATTTATTTTACCATGTAGTACCCCTGTACGACAACCCAATCCGCACACAATATTCAGCGTAGTAGTATTAAAAAACAAAAGAGCGGGCAACCCCACCCCTACCACGCTGTGGGCTCGGTGTCCGAGCGGTCTCATTCCTTTGTGCGCACGCGCAACGACCGCACGCAGTATAAGAAAAATGCTTAAGTGACGTCACCAGGACGTTTTTACCGACAAAAAACGTAATTATTTTAAGTTGTGCAGTGTAGTGACGAGAATTAGACCCAACAAAAGGTTGGTTGTAACAACTATTTTGTGCAAGTGCTCGTACATTTTTATTATAAGCGTTGTGACACGACGCGTAACTTTGACCCATTTTTAGCTCCAAGTTAACGCGCGATGTTAACCAGTAGCCATTTTTTTCAGGATAATTTAGATCGAACTTCACTTGGTAAGTTCGTTTGATCATTCAACTAAACTATGTTGTTTCATTTAAGATTTCAAGAAGTATGTAAGTGGTAGATCGCCCAGGGTTTCGTTAGTAAACAGTTGATCTTATGTCTAATCAAGTTGGCCACCTATTACATATTACATACACACATATGTATTATCCAACGATTTTGAAACGTCAAGTGGCAAAAATAAAAAACGAACAACCCAGTATTGATAGAGCCTTCCTTCAGAGTGAAATGAGGACACTAAAATCCACTTCGTTCACCCAAGATCACCAAACAAAGTGAAATAATCCCTTACGCTATCCCTATTTGCTCTCCTCGGGCAATTTTTAATGCTCGGTTCGTGCAATTTAATTGCTCCACTCGTGCAATTTTTTCGCATGCGTCATACTACCGTCTGTGGAACATTACACCCTATAAAGTTCAGTGCCTAGTCGAAAACTCATACGTAAGGTACGTACTATCCTTTGTAAGGAATACCATATCACCCATTGTTTTAACAGCCTGTCATTGATCTTACGGAGGTTGTTGGGGATTATAATGTTGAAACTAGCTTTTTTCCGCGGCTTCGCTTGTGGCTGTGTGTTTCTTTCTGTCGCAGACAATCTTTATCATACTGCTATCAAAAACAATTGCTTGCTAAAAGCTTTTGTCAACATTTTCAAATCCTAAACTTGAAATTATGATTTCTTCTCCACTCATACTTCAAGACTCGTTAAGTTTTTTAAGACTTATGGTAGATTACATTGATGCCCTTCTCCCAGGCCAGGATCTAATTCATACACATAGGTAGGTATACTAAAACTTAGCATATTGGCGCCAAAATGTAACAAACACATTTATAATAATAGTTTAGACTTTAGATAGATGATATATTGTGATTGTGAATGATACGACTGTTTGTGAATGCGTCACACATAAACAATAACTTGTGTGCACTTCTTATAGCTTTTTTTATTATCTTCTCACACATATTTCTCGAACAAATCGAATTCATTATGACTAACAGGGACCTAGGAGGTGCCCTCTGTCCTGTGTCGTTTCAAACTAAACTCTACCTAGAGACTGCATTTTGTTACAAAGCATATTCAACAACATAATTATTTAACGACTCTTTTTTTAGGTTTATTTATTACTAGCTTTGCGCCCGCGGCTTCGCCCGCGTGGAATTTTGTCTGTCACAGGAAAACTTTATCGCGCACGTCGCTGTTTCAAAAACCGGGATAAAAACTATCCTATGTCCTAGGTTTAGGCGTGAAAGCGAGACAGACAGACAGACAGAGTTACTTTCGCATTTATAATATTAGTATAGATTATTTTTTATCAACCATATTAGGCTGTAAGTATTCCGCTTTGTATAATAACTTACTGGAAAAGTCCTCAGCTTCGAAATCTTTTATTTTCTTCTGAGTCATTTTGTTGCGTGACTAATGGACAGTTAAACTTAACTTTTTGGGTTCTATTGACTCATGTTATGGATCCAGATCTACATTGAAGTTTAAGTATTAAGAACAAGAGTAGGTACCTAGTTCGTTCCTTCGTTCGTTTCAGCCGAATGACGTGCACTGCTGGACAAAGGCCTCCTCCAAGGTGGACCGACGATCTGGTGAAGGTCGCGGGAAGGTACCTAGCAATGATATAAAATTAATAAATGAATATTGTACGTAGGTAAACGTTCTGTAAACGAAAACATAATAATTATTTAATTTTGAATTGAATTATCAGTGTTGAAGGCCTATTGGGCACGCGATTTAACGTTTCGAAGATTCTACAAACTACTTATGTAATTATAATAACTTTCAAAATCATCCATTTTATAAAATTAAATCAATTTTATTAAAAAAATATGATTTTGCAGGCCGCTACCAACCGGGCAACATGGAAAGCCTATGTTCAGCAGTGGACGTCCTGTGGCTGAGATGATGATGATGATGATGATGATGATGATTTTGAAAGTTTGTAAATGTAGAGCCGTGTTGCTCCGGCGGAGTAGAATAGCAACACACCCTCTCTTCACGCGGTCAAATAGAGGCGTTTGCTTTATTGGAAAAGTCTCTGCTTTGGAAAATGATTTCCACGTCGCATAATGAGTACATGTATACAGGGAAGGGTACCTGGCGGAAGGTTAGACAAACTTCGTGGATGTATAGGTAAGGTCATTTTCAGAATACAAGTCCGCTCATTTCGCCGGTTTTCGATCTTTCGGAAAAAAATAAATAAAAACAAAAATATCAATTAAATCTGGGGTGGTTGGAGTTGGAGTAAGAAGATAAACCACAAATTGCGCACAATGGCCCAATCACTAACGCCCGTATTCACAAACGATGCTTGCTTAAGTGAAGAAGTAAATCGAACGCACAGCGTTGAATAGCTCTGTGATTGGTTCGTACGTGACCCTGTGCGTCCTCGCGCACTGTGAGACCTCATAGTAATGTTTGTGAATACGGGCGTAACATGTAGGTATTTATAACCTAAATGGAAACATCTCGACTGGAATTTGGGAAGTCTCAAAATACTTGGTTTTAACGTCTTTGTCTCAATTTATGTCGATGCCCTTTGAATCAGTTTCGGCAGTTATTTATAAATATTGACCGCGAAATTAACACTTTCCCTGCGTTTTCGTGGCAAAACATACTTGCAAGTTCGTGGAAATTTAAAGATTTCAAAAATCAAATTCAAATCAAAAAACATTTATTAAACCCTTCACAATTTAGGTCTTTAAAAGTAAACTAGGCAAAAGATTTGTAACCCAAAGTGTGAGGGACTGGTGCCTGAAATAGCTTTCAAAAGTAACCAAAACGTTTTCAGACGCATTAATCTTTAATGTAGTAGATAGTAGTACGTAAACATTTAATTACTGCACGCGTTATTTACTTACTTTAACACCACTAAAAAGATTCACACTATTTTGTCATTTCATGTATGTATTTCTGAAAACTCTCCCTTGACGTAATAAACTACTATTGACCAAAGGGTTAATGGAAAAAAACCCTGAAATTTATTTTTAAAAGATTTTCCTCTGTCTGAAGGAAATAAATGTGTCAGTTCCTTAATTACTTACTTTTTTTTTTTTTTTTTTTTTTTTTATTTTTCATTATTGAGCAATTACATATTTGATCCAAATAGCGTCCTAAATCCTCTTTAGGTTTGTCTAGACGCTATTGTTCTCTATACAAATAAAAACAAACGTTTACTTATCGTTACTTCAATACTCTACAAATCATTCAGAAAAATATAGTGAAAAAATTAACTCTTAAACGCTGCGTCTTCTTAAGATTAAAAAGTAATTACACTTACTCTTTTACGATGATCGGTAACAGCAATTAAAACCAACCTCTGTCTTCAGCATAGATACAACGAGTGCTCGTGTACTTATTTATTTATTGACATCCGTTTTTCTATCTGTAACACGAAAGCGCGTTAGATACATACAGACCGGTGCCGGGATCGCACGCGCAGTATAACGCAGCATAACGTACGAGTCGTCGCGTCGATACGTTTGAAAGAAAAAATTCGGTCCATGCACCCGCCGGATGCAAACCCGCTCTCGGTCATCGGGTTATCGAGTGCAGTTTTAAAAATTAAAAAGATAAGCCAATATTTTGCAATGGTGGACAAACAGTGTGTCGCCGGGCCCGTAAAGGCTTACATCATGAGTGACCTGCTGAAGAAGGTCGATTTTGACACGAAAAATGACTTCGTCAAAGTCGCCGTCGCCATTGCCGGGTTCTACATGGGAATATTTTATCGTATGTATTTTTTTGTGATTTTTATGTGTATTTTTTTACGCTGCGAAAGTTTTTTGTGATATTTTAATCGGTGATTTTTTTGTGTTTTTACGCTGAGAGAGAGTGAGACATATTTTAAAGTGCATGTAAGTTTTCTAGACTATTATTTTAATATTATATTTTTAACCGAATTTATCTGTAAGTATAACAATGTACCTATCAACACCTTATTAATACTTTAAAACAATATAAATACTAAAAACAGTGTCATAAAAAGCGTTTAAACGTTATAACAATCTCTTTATTATTTTTAACAATATCAGTGTTGAAATAATTTATTGAAAAATCTGTGTTACACAATAATTATCATTGCATGTTGTCTGCAACTACATTATAAACCAAATTCTTATTATTTTTAGGCCAAACCACACGTCACAGAAATAACAACGACTCATCAAAAAATAGTTTTAATCGGAACTCGCGTTAGGTGTAAAACTAATTATTACATAATTATGTATCAGATTAGCTCTTTGAGGGTTAAATATGAATAATTGTTTATCTGTATTAGGTCAGGTCACGTCTGGCCATGTACAGTCACCGTCGAAAGTGAATTCGCACATTTGGTAGTGGAAATTAAATAAAAATGTCTTTATCCATTTGACCAAGATTTGGCGTTTATGAAAGAGGAAATTTGTTACTGGTGTTGGTGTCAAACTAAATGAACTTTCAGGCGTTTGAGAAGCCTAATCGTCAGCTTAAATAGATCTGTGACAACTTCTCAATTGACATACCTTTTATGACCTGTCAAAAAGCGACTCCCTAGATTTTGTATGGCAAAGGGTATGGCGTCTCTAGCTCGTCCACTATTTTATTGTCAAACTTAATTGATTTGAAAGCTACTAAAACTCTAATTTTACAACAAACTGAAAACCAACTCGGTTTTCATGATTAAACACTGAAAGAATCCATCTCTGTAAGTACCTAAGTTGCTTAACGATAAATAATTTTATTTCTAAAGAGATAAGAACTTAACTGTCTGTTAAAAGTGCACTATCCACTTTTGTTGCTGACCGTACATGGTCCGACGTGGTCAATTTCTTCATCATGCGGTTTAATCTAATACCTACTACCGCATGTGTACTAGTGGTAACTTTTACTTTGGAGTGGGTTCAGAAAGATTTTTTAGAGAAAGAGAAAAGGAAGAACCAAGTAAATAATTAATAAGAATTTATTTATTTAAAAACTTTATTGCACACCAAAACTTGTGTTGTGTATTAGGACTGGAGTAAGAGATACCTATCAAATTACACTGGACGCCCGTTTACACAAACGATGCTTGCTTATTAAGTGAAGCAGCAAATCGAACGCAAATTTTCTATCTACAATATTAAGAGTACTTTCCCTCCAGGTGACCTTACAAAATTCCACCCTGTATATGTAGTATCCGTTAAGCTGGCACCCATAACACAAGCATATTAATTGCAAGTGGATTGAGGCTAGATAGCGCTGTGTGAAATAGTCCAAAGATATTTATTTATTTATTTATCTCCACTGCAGGATAACGACATTAACGACCTCCAATAAACCTGAGGAAAATTGAGATTTTGATTGAGTGTTCCCTCCCCCTTATTAATAAAAGTTACTAAGAGTAGGCGCACACCGTTGATTTTTAGTTGGCCGATAGTTGTGCCCGATTTTAATTTGTATGAAGAATCGGCCAAATCGAATCGGCGTAGTGTGCGCACTCCCATAAGTCCCATACATGCCCATACTGATCAACTGCCCGACTAGACTATCGGCCGATAAAAAATTAACGGTGTGCGCCTACTCTTAGTTGAACTCTTGACATAAATTGTCATTTAGTATGGAAATGTCATTTTAATCTGAGGTTCTTCCTAGGTGTAACTTTTTATTAATAAGGGGGGCTAAGTTTTGATCAAACGGGTTGGCTTGGGTTATATTGTACTTTCTTAAAATCTGTTACTCACTCGTCATACTTTCCGATAATATGTCGAATGTTGTTAATATGTTAAGTAAGTAAACAAACCAACCAAGTATGTCAGCATTCCGCTCACTCGGCAAAACATTGAAAATCCGCTAAATAATTGGAAGTGTGTTATGGTCTGGTTAAAGTTAAATTAATTAAAACTGATGAATTTAATATTCAATCGTTAACCAGGCCCAGAACTGACATAGAAATTATAATTTTAAGATTAGGGAGAAATATCTTATAAACAAATGATTCGTTTATCACACCAATTCACTAATAATAATTTTATCAAGCTCCAAACTTATATTAAAATAAAAATACAGTGAGATTCCTCACATTTTGTGCTTATACTCATACTATGACAACTAGATAACGCATAAACATAATAAATACCTACGATACATAAACTATACCAGTTGGTGACTCATTTTATTCGTATTTCTACTCTTAAACATTTCTCATCTCAATATATCAGTCATACACGTTCTCCTCTAGTAACAGTAAGGCCCAGAACACACGGTGAAACGCAACTGCAACGAAACTGCAACTTTGTGATGATTCTGATGAATGAAACTGAAACTGAAAGTTTCAAACTGGTCGCGTCATGTGTGGTCTCTCAACGGACGCTATGGCAGAAACTTAGATGCAACTCAAAAGTAACTAGCAGTTGCAGTTGCGTTTCACTGTCTGTTCTGGGCCTAACAGATAATGTTTCATAGAGACCTAAATTACTTGATTTAAAAATGACTTAACTATTTACTTTACATTTTTTACTTAAAATAATGCAAAGATAAATTGACTGACTAAAAAACTAAACTGTGCACCCTTCAAATAATTATCATCATACTTTTTGCATATTCTAGGGTAGTATTGCGTATCGTTAGTCCATTATCGATATTCTTCCCTTTCAAGTGAGTCTCTAGAAAGTAAAAACTCTGTTTACTGTCACATGAAAATTTATTATATTCCAACTTACACACACTTTGCATAGACCCCTTTGGTGGTCGATATTTAAACCACTTTGGGTATCACTTACTAAATACACTGTAATCTTGTAATTCGTCGTTATTTTATCTCTAAACATGTGCTTTCCAATCACGAATTAATCCATCAATAATAATGTAAATCTCGTCACGTTAAATGTAAATAAATGCCTAATCTGTTAATCTCTATCAATGACCGATAAAGGTGGTTTCAAGATAAAAAATACCTACTACGATGTAGATTTATATTTTAGTGCATTGCTCTATACTGTGTTCCTGCATTAAGAAATTTTAGACTGATCGAGTCTAAAATTTCTTAATGCTTTTTAGGGTTCCGTAGCCAAAATGGCAAAAACGGAACCCTTATAGTTTCGTCATGTCCGTCTGTCCGTCTGTCCGTCTGTCCGTCTGTCACAGCCGATTTACTCGGAAACTATAAGTACTACAGTGATGAAATTTGATGGGAATATGTGTTGTATGAACCGCTACAAAATTATGACACTAAATAGTAAAAAAAAGAATTGGGGGTGGGGCCCCCCATACATGTAACTGAGGGATGAAAATTTTTTTTCGATGTACATACCCGTGTGGGGTATCAATGGAAAGGTCTTTTAAAATGATATAAAGTTTTCTAAAAAACATTTTTCTTAAAGTGAACGGTTTTTGAGATATCAGCTCTCAAAGTCGTAAAAAGTATGTCCCCCCCCCTCTATTTTTATAACTACGGGGTATAAAATTCTAAAAAAAATAGAGGTGATGCATGCTAATTAACTCTTTCAACGATTTTTGGTTTGATCAAAGTATCTCTTATAGTTTTTGAGATAGGTTGATTTAACTGTAATTTTGGTTATATTTGCTGCTACGGAACCCTTTGTGCGCGAGCCCGACTCGCACTTGGCCGGTTTTTTTTAAAGAATATTAGTAGTTTGTATTGCAAAAATTACTAATAGTTCCGTTAGCCCCTCGTACTAAGCTTGTGCTTGTGTTACGAGTGGGCTCACCACAATAGTCGAGCGGCGGCGGGATTCGAACCCGCGCGCGTTCCTCTGATGATGAGTCGGCTAGTCTTCTACCACTTCACCGCTCGGCTATCGTGGCTTCAAATTCACATTCACATTGACGTCTATCCACTAAACTTCACTAAAGCATCATGAGGACTTTACAAAAAATCCTGTAACGATCTCACTACGTCTATTACTTAGACCCCTCCTATTTTTTCTGATTCGTTTCAATAAAAAATTGAGTTCGACCGCGAATCAAATAAATGACAACGTGAATCATACAAAAAGTAAATTAAGATACATGTTAACCTCGACATTGCACAATTTTATTGCCTCTCGTTCGACTGATAATAACAGAACAAACACGATTCAAGCTGCATATAACTTTAGGTAATCGAATATCTAAATTAATCGTTTTGTTTTACTGAAAAATCTTTTGTGGGGTCACTTTAGATAGACCTTAACTGATCAGCCACTGTTATATTATCAACACAATAGCCTTATCTTAATTCATAAAATATAAAATAAACTGGCAAGTGATCTTGAACCCACTCGCGAAAACACACTGGTCATTTTCAATGTCATTTAGTAAAAATATCTTATCGTTGAACTGCCTACGGACCGGTTGGGCGGTTACAGGGAGTCCCTTTTTATAGTGTGCGAAATACTTGCTCATACCATGTAGTTCTAGCAACCACCCGTCATGTGATATGCCTAAAAGCGGTGGGGATGAGTAAAAATGGTGTAAGTGGCACATTAGTTTCGATAATTATAGGAATTTAATAAATAGCATGTAGCTTAGTGTTAATATAGTAATTTCAGTAATTTGTGTACTATAAATTACTGATATTTTTAAACCTAGGTCCCCCTGATCCTCTCGGACTCGATATAGTTATTATCATGAAGAAATAAATACAAGGAACTGAGACTAAACTTTATTTCAAATGAAAGTTTGGATTCTTTCTACATCTCAGTGCGATACGGTATCACAAAAAATATAAAAAAACACACAATAACAGATACTTAATTGCATAAAACTTTTTGTGC